TTGGCATGGCATTGCGAGAAGGCAGAATGTACAGAGATTCTGGGATTAGTGAAAAGCTACAAAGAAAGAAAAGAATTTGAGGTAGTAGCTGGTATTCCAAAGCAAATGCACATCTGCCACACTAAACTATCCAGCTGATGAAAACATTAGCCTGCTTCTGTCTTTCTTGACAAATTTCCATTAATAGTATCAGGAGACATGTGTGTTTTTGTGTGTGTTTGCAATGGTGTGCAGTGGGGTAAGCTTCCTTAGGTTTTGTTAGGATTTAAAATGAATTCAGCTTAAGAAATGCACTTTCTCTCTGGGCTCCCCAGAGTGCATTTGTTTACTAAGTTGAGGATTTCTCACCATTACCAGTGTCGCGGAGCAATGTTAATGAAAATGCCCAGACATAATGAAAAGTTACTTTTGCTAAGCTGTTTATTATATTTAGACTATACTCCATGTATTTTCATTAGTGTTTACAACAACGGTGTTTAGTTGGGTGTGATGTAACACACCTGTAATCCCAGTTCCGAGGCAGGAAGATCACAAGTTTGAGGCTAGCTTGGGCAACTTAGTGAGACCCTCTCTCAAAATAAAAAAGCTGGGATGTGGCTCAGTGCTAGAGAATCCCTGGGTTCAGTCCCCAGTATTGCAAAAACAAAACTGTTTAAAAAATTTATTATTCTTTTATCCTCTTTCATTAGACATATTTGTGATCAGCAACATCAACTTTCTAAAACCTGACTCTGAGGGTACTAGAGCCCTGACTCATTGAACTAACCAAATAGCAACCAAAGCAGTTGTCCTTGGTATGGAAACTTACACTACTTACACTTATGCTCGGAATGCTATTTTTGAACAATACCAACTTGTACCTCTGTCTTCCTTGGTGATGGTAAAAAAAGGGACTTGAAAGCAAGATTGGGATCTTGGTAGGACTGCAATGGCATGTGTATGCTGTGTAACTGGGAGGCAGTTGACAGGAAGGAAGAGTCCAGCACTGGATCCTGGTCCTTACCTGACGCACCCCGCAGGCTAGTTGCGTAGTATTTCTGAGTATTGGTTCTCCCTATCTGTAAAGGAGGGTGTGTGCCTCGCCTACGGGATCCTGGAAAGGAGCAGGATGATTTACATAAAGTTCCAATGGCTGAGGAGCATAGGCAGTCGTTAAATAGTAATCATTGTTACTTCTGTCCTTCTGTGGAACTTGTAGGTAAGACACATAGTTGACCGTATTTTTTAACATAAATGGCTGGTTTTATAAATATTACTTCAAGAGATTTCCCAGGTGCAGACATTATATTCTGTGGTTCTGTGACACTGCACATGGGGACAGAGCCTGTCACGATGCTGCTAGTGCAGCTTTCTAACTGGGGTTGGTGCTGCCACATGGCCACATCGCGTTCCCCACAGCAGTCATTTTGAAGCAGAGTCATGTCAAAATTCTCTGAAGAACTTGAACAAACACATAAACATAAAGACCCCTAACAGATACCTTGGCTCTGTCCACTCTGTGTTCATCTGCATGTGGCTTTGCGACAGTCTTCATCCGCGTCTCCAAGCCCATGGGTCTCCAGCAAAGAACTCCTATGATCAAGGTTTCTCAAATATGAGTGTCATGGCGAGAAGGCTCACCCCAGGATTTAGATATGGGGCCACTTTCTTCCTGATATGGTCAGGCTGGCTCTGAGGAGCGTCTCATACTTCCCAGGGGCCAAGTGAGAAGCCCATGGAGAAAGAAGGGCCGGGCCTGAGGTAGCAGTACCGCTGCGTGCCTTGGCACGTCTCAGAGCTCGGCCCTGGGGTGCTGGTTTTCACATGGATGAGGCTTTGCCTTCCTCCTCCGGGACAGTTGGCACTTTGGAGACAATTTTGTGTGGGTGCTTCTGGTGTAGGAAGAGGCCAGGATGCTGTTAGTCCTATAGTGCATGTGACAGCCCCCACAGCAGACAGTTCTCTGAACCCAAGTGTCGTAGTTCCAAGGTGGACCTGCCCCGRCCTGCCGTTGTCTCCTGGATGCTGCTGTTCATTGGCAGCTGCGCCAGCACAGGAGAGTCTGTGTTTTTATCTGTGGACATGTACTGTTTCTTGCCTGGTAGGCCCAGGAGGCAGGAAATGATGTCCAGCAAGGCAGAAGTGGAATAAGCCAGGCGGATGTTTCTAAGAACTTGCCTTTCCCGGGAGTGCTGGAGGCCTGAGGAGAGTTTCACCTGTCAGGTTGGCCAGCCTGCCTCAGAGTTTCTCCATAGAGTTTGCATATGGGAACCACCTTCCCGTCTCTCTGGAGCATCATTGTTTTTTCTTAACTACTGATTCAACCTGGAACTTTTGTACACACACACAAACACACACACGTACCTGAAACCACTTACGTATGCATGGCTTCTATAAGAGACGTTTCCATTCTCACCACTACCACTTAGCTCCATGTAGTAGGCTCAGAAAGGCGATGGGAAGAGGAGAGGTCTCTGATGTGTTTCCCACAGTTTGCCTTGCATTTGACTCAGTGGTGTTTGGGGAAGTGGGACGAATGGATTATTGCTATTACTCTAGGCCAGTGTTTTCTGATATATGCTGTGTTGTTATTAATAGATATTACTATAAAAGGGGGTAGTTATGCCCAACAAAGTTAGGAAAATGGGATTAAACTAACAGCCTGATTTGTAAATTACAGTGCATTACAGAGCCCTGAGTAGCTTAATGGAGCCTGTAGTGACCTGAGAGCACGTGGGTGTGAGTGTGTGAGGGAGCATTGCTTAAGCTTAGAACATCAACATTTTCTCTGAACATCTCCTGTGTCACCAAAGTATTCCCTGAAGATGATCTTGTGATCAGGGTAGCTTGACAGTAGCATATTCCTTGTGACATTTGTCTCCCCAAACCTTTATAGGAGAAGTTGAAAAGATTTGTAGGCTGGGAAGCTATTTCACCTCCCTGCAGAATTTTATTAGATATAATCTTCTTACCAAGCCTTAAGAGAATAGTTGCTCTTTCTTTAGAGGGGTTGTTTCCTTCTGAGCGGTATGAGTAAACACCATTTCACTATTTGGGAGCAAATGAAAAGAAGAATTAAGGTTTCTCACCATTAAAGATAACTTTGCCGACTTCTGGCATTTTTAACTGAAAAAAAAAGCATCAAGGCAGCTTAGATCAGAATGGCTCTGGGGCATTCCGGCTCCTGTATCACCAGTCTTTAGCTCAGAGCACAGCTGTGCCCCTCTGCACTTCTTTGGGTGCTGGTGCCCGTGGGGCAGACCTCGCTGCCCTCTGTCCTCCATGAGTGCCTTTCTGTGCCTGCAGCCATGATGCATTCTCCTTGCATTTCAGACATTGTGACCTTCAGGTGGCTTTGAAACCGTCAAGGGCAGTTGGCCACTATTCCCACTTCAGTCGTTTGTAAGAAACCTGCTGGCTTTATTAATCCCAGGGTCCCCTGGAGATAGCAGTACAGGGAATTACAGGGAGACATCCATAAGTGCAGCTGTTTCTGCTTTTTCAGCCCCTCCTTCCCACTCAGGATTACTGCTGCCAGCACTCTAGCCCCATTTTGGGCACTGGGACACACTCGGCTTCTTCTCTAGCTCATGATGGCTTTTTGTGCACAAAGTCTTTCCCTCCTGGCCGCATTCCCCCTTGCATGCCTTAGCACTGTGGGGCTTAGGAGATTTTACAGAGAAAGCAAATGGTTTTCCCTGTAGCACCATCTGGAGCCATTCTGTCCAAGCCTCTGAAGTTTGAGGAGTGTGAGGCGCGTCCTGAAGGCAGCGGGAGGGAGTACTTTCTTGAATGCTCACTAACTGCTATGTACTCTCCATCCCCACAACTCTAGGCACTGGGTGTTGTTCAAGGTCCGGCCTACACAGTGGGCAAGTGACCAAATCAGGATCCTAAGTCCTCTCCATACAGTAAAGCCTTTGGCTTTCCCATGTCACTGTACTATAGCCCTGATAAGATCCTGCTGTGTGACCTGGAGGGCAGTAGTGTTCATTGAGGACTCTGCTGTTACCCGTGCTGGATGTTGTCAAGTGAATTGTCAAAACACTTTAGGACTTCAAGAAAAATAGGGACAACTTGGGAGGTAGGCTTATTCCCTGAAGGCAGCAACAGGATCTTGTAAGAGATCTGTAATATCCTTTTTTGAATAATGTGGTGGGACAAATGTTGTAGTTTAAATTTTGTGCCCCACTCTTAGATTTTAGGTTTGGACAGGAATCTTAGACTTCTGTCCACAAATGAGCTGTGCCTCTTTTCCCCTCAGCTCTCTGCTTCCCCTTCTCATTAAGGTTCCATTTAGCCATTAGATAGGAGCTGCAGAAGGGAAATCCAATCATGTATAATCTCCAGTTAATGGGCATCTATTGAGCGACTAGGTCACCAGAAAGAATAATTACACAGTGCCTCTTTGTGCAGTAAACACAAAAATCAAAAGATAATGCATTCCCAAGGCAAGCCAGATTGTTAGTGGCTAACAGCATCCTCTTTAGGGAAAAGATTGGGGCACCCACCATGTTTGCTAGGGCAAATTGCAAAGCCATTCCCCAAAAACAAGGCCCTCAAGGGAGGAAAATGTAAGACCAGGGCACTTCCAAGGCTTTGTCACTTCTAATTGCCAATTGTCATGGTGAATTACTGAATAGCAGACATTCTAGTAAATGTTTTATACAATCATGGGGAACTTTGTGGATCTCTGGGGTTTTCATGCCTCAGAGTTAAAGAACAATAGTGATGATAAGGTGTTGTTTGAGCCCCACTCCCACAATTTAGTCTGTTTGCTAAGCTTGCCCAACCTTCATAAGTGAAGACTTCCTGCTCACTCTTGGCCAGCCACTAACTGATGATTTATGAAAGATGAGCATGAGCCCCTTGACCCAAAATGGCGTGTGTTAGCCACAGGCCCACAAATTCTTGGATTTGTGTTGATTCATTTTAGTTTGGGTTTTCAAAATCATGTCTTGTAGCTATTTAGAATTTGCAAACCTCAGCATAATTCAAATAACCTGTTTTTCCCCCCTTAGAACACTTCAGTTATGGAAGATCAAAATGAAGATGAGTCCCCAAAGAAAAATACTCTTTGGCAGGTAGGAATGACAAGATAGCAATTGACTTACTGTAGATAAGATGCTCCCTTAGTTAATGTCCTCCATGAAACCAAGAGCTAGGCTTTTTCGTTTTGTGCAGTTTTGTTAGTTTCAGAATCCACCCTAATTTATCACTTTTGTAGGGAAGTATCATTACAAATAGTAAAGGGTGGGGAATTTTCACAAAGGTTCTGAAGTGGCTGTAGTTTAAAATGTTTTAATCTGTGGCCCAAGATGGAAAATGGTGACATCCTTTGCCTCTGTCTTCTTTCTTGGCTCTGTTTTGGTTTTATCAGTTTTTGTGCTAAATCCACCAGGGTTTTTTGTGGGGGCTTAGGGGAGCATGTAAAGTTCCATGGCTTAGCATTCATCAGCCATATGGTGTATGTCGTTTCCCCTTCGTGAGGACACAATTAAACGCAAATAAATCTGGAGAGAATAAATAAAAATTTTTTTTTCTGGGTCAGTTGATTTGAAGTTAAAGATTCATGATTGTATAAAACAATAATGTGTGCCCAACAAATTTAAGAAGAGATGGAAGAAAGCAAAACAACGCTAGGAGTATTTTGCTGGGCTGAGCAGTGGTTGGAACAGAACCTGGCCAGTGTGTGCTGTGGGATGGTGCATGTGCCACACTGTGTGTGCAGACTGGAATCCATCCCTTCCTTCCTGTTTATTATTTTGCAATAGGATCCTCTTCATTCACTATTGATTTTTCAGTTTGCTGTGGTTCTTAACACTTTAGCTTTCAGATTTCCTTTCATCTGCCTTCCTTCCAGTCAGCTAGTTAATGGTACATAAATACTCTAGGGAGGCTGGCTGGTTAGGAAGCCTCCCTGTATGAAATAATAACCCTTTTGCTTAGCCAGTGAGATAAAGGGTGTGAAAATACTTTGTAAATTATAAAGCAGCACACAAATGCAATTTATAAACCACTATTATATTTGACTTGGCAAATTATTGTCCAAAAGAAAGAAAGAAAGAAAGATAAATAAAGGGGGAGAGAAAACGTGCATCCCTTTCTTTCTCAGGATTAGGTGCTCCTGGCATCTTGATGTATACCCTTTATTATGGTTGGTGCTCCCCTCTTACAAGATAAATGTGATCAGGGTGCTGTATGAAATTCTGGGGCTTGTCTTTTATCCTTAATATTTATTTCATAAGCCTGTCCTCTTGTTACTACAGTCTAACTATATAGCTTAGTTAGACTTAGTTATATGACTATATTATAGTTCTTCTTTGTACATGTGTTAGAATTCGTTTTAACCAGTTCTTATAGTTACTTAAAATTTTTTTCCAAGTTTTTCCAGTATTTTGATATTAGATTTAAGATTCTGTTATGAATTTGGTAGATATCATTATACTCCAAAGTAGACTTTATACCTTTATACCTGCTATTAGTTACAGCAAAGAATTTTCACTTCGCCTCTATTTTGAACTCTTTATTTTTGGGATCTGCTGAATACATTTGTCTGCAACCAAAATCTAAAAATCCCTGTTTAGTGCTGCCCCCTAGTGTTACCAAGTGTTAGGAAGTCTTCCCTCACCAAAGCTTCAGGGGGAAAAAATCTTGGACAATGGGGAGGGAAGGGAAATTGGGTGGGAGAYCACTGCCTTTTGACCTCATGTCTAAATGTGGATATAAGAACTACTTCAAACATGAAACTTACAAGGTTTTATCAAGGAAGGGCAAAGACCCCTATGGACATTTACAAAGGGTTTCTTCTTCGTGGGATGGATTGACCGTGTGAGGAACATACTGGTCCTGAAGCTCTTTGTTCTTTCTTGTAAGGCTGCTGAGATAGAGTCCTAGCTGAATTAATGGGCGTGTGTAGCTTAACTCTTTACTTCTCAAGATTCTCTTGTATAATTCCTTTTGAAATTACACGTAAGGAGGCTGTTAGAGGAGTGATAGGTTGCTTGGCAAATATTTAACAAAAGTATTGAGATTATTTTATTTTAAACAGGGAAGTTGCAGGCCTTATAGTTTCAGTAGTAGTTGTGGACTGAGTCTAGGGATTCAGATTATTTTTTTGATGTATTGTCCAGGTGCAGTGTAGTTTTCTTTTTTGGTGCAGGGAATTGAACATGTGGCCTTCTTCATGCTAAGCTCAAGCTGTACCAGTGAGCACTCTCCAGTCCTGTAGTGTCAATAAAAAAAGAAAAGATACACTGACGTTATGCAAAGACATGGAAATAGATTTGATGAGAAATGCATTGTTGTATGTATAGGAGTCTCTTTTTTATCCGTAAACCTGTGTAAGATGAGGGACTTTTCAGATACACATGGTTTACCTTTGGTAGCTTGCGGAGGAGGTGATCAGAGAAGTGGGGAAGTCTAGAATCGTTTTGGAGCAGTTTCTTTAGTAGTGCTTGGAAAACAATATGAAGGATATCAGAACTATTAATAAAATGAAGCTTTTTAGATTGAATTGCTTTTAGCTTTCAATACATAACTGCTTATCTTCTTTGCTTGATAGGCCAGGAATCCTCATAGTGTGGTCCCTGAAGTACAGTCTAGACCAGCAGTGTCAGCATTACTAGAAGTAGAAATCCTCAGGCTTCACTCCAGACACGTAATTTCAGAACCTCTGGGTGGGCCTGATGATCTGTGTCAACAAACCCTCTGTTATTCTGTTGCTATTGCTTTGTGGTAGTGGCTCCCCCCCCTGCATCCAGTTTTAATACCTACATTCTGAAAATATTAAATGGAAAATTTGAAGGGAGAGATTGAGACCACATTCACATAACTTATTCTATTTTCTCATTAATTATTGTTATTAATCGCTTAYTGTGCCTAATTTACAAAATGAACTTTTTCATAGATAAGTAGATATAGGAAAAAAACATAGTATTCGTACTGTTCAGTACTAAACCCTATTTTAGGCATTTTTGAAATGTATATCTCTCGAGGATAAAAAGGGGCTGCTGGATGTAGCACTGACTCTCAACTATGAAGAAACAAAATGGATTAGTAGTAGTCAGTTTGCACCAAGCTGAATGGTTCCTCTAAGATGATTATCTCAAAGTAGTTATCTTAACAATGACATCATTTTGGAAAAACATCGGACAATGATGATTTAAGATGCCTAAAGCTTTAAAAATAGCTCTAACTTCAGCATTTACTGTGTGACTTATTTGAGGACACAAACCCTATATGTATTACTCATAATAAAGAAATGAGTTTGGCTATAGGGTGAAACTGGTATTTTAAGATTCAATACACAGGGTGAAAAATGTTTCTAATGAAATACCAATTAGATTTCTTTCTCTTGTCAAACTCTTTTTTTTAATCTTTTTTTAATAGATAAGTAATGGAACATCATCTGTGATTGTCTCCAGAAAGAGGCCATCGGAAGGAAACTATCAAAAGGAAAAGGACTTGTGTATTAAGTATTTTGACCAGTGGTCTGAGTCGGATCAAGTGGAGTTCGTGGAGCATCTGATTTCACGAATGTGTCACTATCAGCATGGACATATTAACTCCTACCTGAAGCCCATGTTGCAGCGGGACTTCATTACTGCGTTGCCAGGTAATCACTGGTCCTGAAAACAGTCGAGCTGGGCAGGGGTGTCCAGCCGGAGCCCAGGCAGAGCCCAGTGGGTATTTACATCGCGCATGTGTAATGCACACTGTGGTTTTAATGGATGGTGCTTGAGGAGGATTATAATTTAGCTTCTTTCATTAACAGTGTGATTGTTGGTCATTTTTACTGCTTATTTTAGTTCATTCAACAGGTTTTTTAAAAAATGATATCCATTATGTTTTGATGTAATCTATGTTCAGTCTGTACTTTCCCTTTATATGTAAGTTTTAAAAATATAGGACTTCTTTCTTCAGTGTGTATTCTTGAGAGGTGTCCCCAAGTTTAGGATGTTCATTTGCATCTGAAATGATGCCTTGGGATGGCAAAGACGGTCTAAGAAAGCAGGGGGCATGCCTTGATTATATTTCTGGAAACTGGCTTCTGTATCCCCTGCCTCACTGCCCGCCCCGTCATCTCCCTCTCAGATGCAGGCAGGCATGTGTGCCACCATATACCAAGAACCACTGTGGAGAATTCCCACATGCCTCCTGTGGCCCCCAGTTTCTCAAGACCAGCCTACTCCCCTATCAGCACCCTGCAGCAGAGCAGTGTGTCTGGCCCAACCTGGGAACCTGTGCTGGTGCCATCATTCCCCAGATCTGTTGCCCGTGTTCAGGGTCACTGCTGGAGTCCTGTGCCTTGTGGGTCTGGACCAGATACAGTGATGCAGTGCATTCTCCACCATCACAGTATCCGCCATGCAGAATAGTCCTGTTTCCCTTTGATTCTTTTTTATTGGGGGGGAGGTACCAAGGATTGAGCCCAGGGATGCTTAACCACTAAGCCACATCCCCAGCCCCCCCACCCCCTTTTTAGTTGTTAATGGACCTTTATTTATATGTGGTGCTGAGAATCGAACCCAGTGCCTCACATGTGCTAGGCTAGTGCTCTACCACTGAGCCATAGCCCCAACCCTCCCACTTTGATTCTTTTTGGTCTCTTTATTCTTTCTAAATTTTTCATTTTAAATTTGGCTAGGTCAGATAATAGAGCGTTCTGACCAAAACATTTCCCTCTAATATGGTCAATGTAGCCTGCTGGTTATTCCTACCATGCCCAGGTAGATCTAGAAAGCCCAGCAAGAACCTGTGACATTGCTACCAGACTGTGTCTCATCCAAAGTGCTGGACCACTCCCTCAACCCACTTGGGGAATAGCAGGACCTGCACTCAGGCCTCAGACCTGAAACTTGGGGTTGCAAATCTACAGGCCAGCATTTGGTCTCTGATTTCTCTTCCAATGGTTTTAAGTTTGCTTTTTACAATGGTAGCATTAAAGGATACCTGATAAGTAGCCTAGAAGAATTTGACTCCACTATTCTTTTTATGCTGAAATGTAGCATAACTTGTCTGTTTTTTTCCCCTCAGTAATATGTATAGAAAAGTAAAATTTGAACCCTTTCTTTTTATTACATTAGTATTTAATTGCTGATGGGGATCTTAGCCATCACTTAGTGCTGTTTCTTGTTGCGTAGATCAGGAGGCTGAGGAACAGAGGAGTTGTGAAGTACCCAGCAGTGCATATCGTGGTTATTGTACAATGGTGTGCGTGATTGATGGTAGACGTTGGCTCACAAGTCGGCCTAAAACCTGAAATTACTCTGAAAAATACCTTAAATTGACACTAAATATTAATTATATGGATTGTAACCCAATTCATTAAATTTCTTTTAATTATGGGTGAAGGGTGAGTTGGAAGGGTCAGGGAGAGGGAGAGAAAGGGGGTGGGGGGCACTCTTGATTGTAAAAGAGACAGAGAACTAGAGCTGAGTGGAAGTGAGCCAAGGGAGCATCCCTCTGCTTCAGTGTCCACAGGATCAGGTTGTACCTCACACCGAGGAAAGGCAGGGAGGCTTTCAGCTGGTGATTGGATTGTTCCTCTTACATGCTTTTAACTAAACGAGGCTGGGCCTCATTTTTCTCAGCAAATCTGCCTATTGGTTTCTACTGTTGGGGTTTTATTTTCTTCCTTGTAACCAAATGGTCGGGAGTGCCCAGAGCTCCACTTATGTTGACAGAATAGCCACCACAAGGTGGCACTATTGAAGTTCTCCTGATTTGCAGAGTGTAGTTCCAGGACAACCCTTCTTTCTCTCTGGGAGTGTACAGCCTTGGAGAAGAGGCAGAACAGAGGAACATGTGTTATGTATATAAATATGGTTAGTATAATTGCATACAATTCAGTTTTCATTACAGAGAATTTTAAGCCATTGTCCATATCTCTTGTTAAAGTGGAATTTTGTGGTATTGAATATTATATGAGATGAATGGACAATTGGCTGGGACATGGAACTATTTTTGTTAAAATGCTATTTGTTTTAACAGGATTTGATCTGAACATATATACATCTGTCAGTATGTTTCATACATATGAAGCTAATGGCTGGGGACAAGCTGGCCAAGTTGACTGTGTTCGTGTCTAGTAGACTTGGATTAAAGCTGGCGTTAGTTTCTTAGCCCAGTCTCTGCCTTGAGAGCACTGTGAGGAAAACAGGTCCGTGTGTTTGTACTTAGGTTTAATAATCTGTGCACAACTTACTAATCATTATACTAGCTTGGTGTTTAACTTTTTTGGAGTTTGAATTTTTACTCTATTAAAATTGACAAGTCAACTTAAACTTCTTTGGATTCTGAAAATCATTAGTTCTATAAAAATTGTGTATAGTTTTGGCTTTTTAATGCTTACTATGAATATTGTACCTGTCAGTATAGGAAAAATGGAAAATGTTTGTGGTCTCTGGCTCCTTTTGGTTCAGTGGAAAAAGTGATAATTACGATATGCTTTTCTAAAAATCATGTGAATGTTTAGTCTGCAATGTCAATTTCTGCAGGCTAAGTTTGTGGTTTGTAAGAACTGTTGTTAAAGGGAAAGTTTATACCATTTAAAATAGAGGCAGATTGTACTTCAAACAGGATGATAAGCATTGGTGATCCATTTGGTGAGGTGTCTAAGCAATTAAGAATTTTGAAACACTTAACTTTCTGGCCATGGGTTATTCATTTGTCTTGCTCTCAAGTAAGAATGAGAAACCATTACAGACCACGAATGTGATGGAGACTCCATCAAGGTCTTGGGAGATGGGAAGAACCAGAGCATAGTCCAGGCGGCAGGCTGTGCAGGATGGAGCGGGAGGGGCTGCAGCATGATTCAGGCAGTCCCTGGACCTGGATTGTGGGTCCTGCACTTAATAGCTGTGTGGCCTCACTTTTTGGAGCCTCAGTTTCTCACCTGTGTAGGAATAGTAGGATTTCAGAGGCTATTGTTAGGATTAAAGACGGTTTGCATGATGTGCTCAGCAGCTGGTGGGTGCTCTGAGGATGGCAGCCGGAGAGGTAGGAAACACCTGCTCCTCCGGAGGCGTGGCGATTTACTGCTGGGAAGTTTTAATCATTTGCCCTGTGTTTCCACATGGGTCCATCCTGCCGTCATAGAGTTCATGTGCCCCCTCCCCCTTTTCCCTTGGGAACCCTGTAGAAGAAGCTCCTGGACTCTGCCCTGCGCCTCTCTCCTCGTGCCCAAGTCCTCCCGTTGGGTATTTCGGGTGACAGCCATCTCCTGGCAAACTCCTGCTCTCCACAGTTGTGTTTTCTTTGAAAAGATTTGTAACTTCAATTTTACCACTAGATCTGTGACTAGGGAGGAAAGGGACAGCAGAGGTGCGTGGGAAAGGAATTTTTTTGCAGCTGTTCTTTGAAATGTGTTTCTGCAACACCAAGGTCTGCTGTCTGCTGAAGGCAGCGGCGAAGCTAGCTGCAGTGAAGGCATTGAGCTGACGTGGCACATCTGCGGTGCCTTGCGGTATAGAGTATTTACTACACACTGGGCTTGGAAATTTGGGCCTTTTAATTGTTTTAATTAATTTATTATTGGGAAATTTCCCGACTTCACTGTGGTGCTGTGATTGGCACCAGAAGCGCTCTTCTGCAGCGTGTGTTCGGTGCTTGGGCCTCGCCTTCTGAGGCTGGCATGTGTCCTCAGGAGGCCTTAGGAAGCAGGTGGTGGTGGGAGATGAGAGGCTGGGCATGAGAGAGCAGTGGGAGCCAGACATGGGTGGTTAGGGAAATGCTTAGTTTTAACACCTCAGAGCACTTTTTAGGCCAGGCAAAGACACCACCTTATTCAGTGACCCATTTGTCCTCAGTGGACTTCAAACTAGAACAGCCCAAGTCTGTCTGGCACCTGTGATGGCTGCTCTCATATGCATGCCCACGACAGCGAGTGTCATTTTTACTCTTCACAGAACGTTCAGGGGACGTGAGATTTATGCCAAGATAAGAGAAGCAGGTAGATTTGTTCTAGAAGAGATATACTTCTCTGCAATAAATAAAATGGAAGAATAATACTCAGCATTCTTGATCATCGATATTAGCTAAGGGGATTTGGGGAAGGAAGGAGAACAAAGGCATTTATTGTGTGTCTGTTTCCTGTTGTTCGTTGTCTTACTAAGCTTCCAAGCAAGGTTGGGAAATTCCTTCCCTGTAGACTGAAGCTACTTCGAGTTCTATCATGGAGGATTCTTGTACAGATTATTTGAGACAATCTATTTCAGGCACTTAATATTCCTATGTTTAAACAGCATGAGATTCAAAAGAGAAAATGGATTTGCTTAAGGTAACTCAATTAGCAGTGGACAAAATCAAGATTCAACTGTCAATGGTCTAGACCTGTCACACAGGCTGCGCCACTCATGGTCACAGGCTCTGACTCTCCAGGTTATCTGACTTGACAGCCAATGCATTTTCCACAGGTCTCAAACATGCTGCCTCCAGAAGGATGACGAGGATTTAAAGTATTAACCAAAGGAAGCTAATCTGACCCCACTATATCACTGAGATGTCCTTTCATTGGATGGATAGTGTTTGAAAGGAGAAAATTATGCATTACTAAGGCATTTATTTGTGTAAAGAAGTCATTGATGGCTTACTTGTTAGCATTCAGAGTTGAGTTGTATGGGGATTGGTGGTCAAAGAGGACTAAAAGATGTCATTGGTATAAACTTGTAGTTCTCAGCATGTCAGAGTTAGTTGGTGTAACTTCTTACTTAAAAAAATAGTTTCTTGGGCCTCGACATCTGGAGATTATGATTGAATAAGCAGAAGATCTGGGGGACATGGGGATGTGGTTTTGTTGCTGTAGTTTTAAAAATCAGTAACCGTAGGGGCTGGGATCATGACTCAATGGAAGAGCTCTTGGCCTCACACATTCAAGTCTCCGTACCACATATAAATAAATGAATAAAAGAGGGTCCATCACTACTTTAAAAAACAAAAAGTCAGTAACCGTCAGTGATTTAGACACAGTCACATAGGCTCCACCACTCATGGTCACAGATTCTGACCCTCCAGTTCAAGTGGAAGATCTGGATGCTACTTTCCCAGTTCACACACAGATGATGCTGGCATTGCATCCAGTGAGACTAGACAAAGCAATTTCCTGAATCATTCTTGTCTTGCTGTTGTTTTCATTTTCCAGCAGAGGATTCAATAGAGGAATTGGTTAGGGGTGTGTTTATAACCGATCAGGAGGATCTGGTTAGTGATGTAGAAGTAAGATAAACTTTACAAGCAATGTGTTCTAATAACCATTTTTTTTAGAAACTAGAAAAGGAAGATAGATAAGTACTCCAGAACTAGAAAAGTTCAAAGAAGAACTAGAAGTCAGTAAGCCTTTGGCTAGAGACTCTAAAAGAAAATAGGGTTAAACAGGGCTGAAATACTCTGAAATTTGAAATTCTGATGAGTAATTTTGTCAGCCATAGTGATGTAGAGATACCTGTGATTTTAATTAAACATAGAATGCAAAAGAAAGGTACATATGATTATGAAGCTTCCTAAAAGGTGGCCTGGATCTTTGAGCATGGTATCAAGAAGACCAAATCCCAAATAATGTAAAACTAGCCAAAATGTGTAATCCAAAGGAATTGAAAACAAAACACTCAACCATTTAGAGGAAAGTTATAAAGAATGGTTGGAGCTATGTTACAGTGACATATTTTCAGTATCATATAACTTTTTTGTTTTCCCAGTAAGAACAATGGCTTTAAAACAAGGAAGGATAGGAAAATTATAGTMAAAAAAAGACGTGAATGGATTTAGGAACCCTGGGAACAAGGAGACCTAAACACCTTGTTGGCCAGGAGAGCCACACACCTCTGGTTGTGATTCAGAACTGAGGTACTTTGGGAACTAACTGAAAACCAGCCTGCAGAGCTCCTGGGGACGGCACGCCCTGTGCAAGTGGTGCCACTGTGTTGGAAGTCTGCACGACAGACCCATAGGTGCTGGGGGAGCAGGGTTCCTGATTTTAGGAATTGGAGAAGGTATATTTGGGGGTATTAGCTTTAAAAGTTGATGTTATTTTCTGGCAGAATTCTTAATTTCAAACGTGAATCAGTATCTGAAAAGATTACACAGGCCCGTGCCAGCCTAGAGGGGTGCCTGCAGAATGTTAAGAGGGGGATCTCTTGGGGGTGGTATTTAAGGATTTAAAAGTTTTTGCTTTTAAGTCCCTAAATATGTTTTGTCATTATTTTCTATAACGTTAAAAAGGAACACAGAATAGCTGGTGCCAACTTGCAAATGAAAGGCTGCAAACATAGTAAGTATCACCAAGCTCACCTCGTCCTTACCAGGAAGGTCACCAGACTAGAACACAGGTCCGAAGAACGATGGGCGTGTCTCCAGATGTCCCTGAGGACTGAGGAGGGGACTGAGGGCTGGACGCAGTATATCCACATGGTTACAGAGCTGCTGGCTCAGCCTTGGTACCCTTGAGTGTTAATGGAGACATTAGTGATGACCTGGAGGGAAATTGTTACTGTCATTGGGTGCTGTCCTTGGTTCTGACCCTTTTAACCTGTTAGTCTAGACTTAAGATAAAGATTCATTTGCCCACCTGCATATCTGGTGCATAATACCCATTCTTCAGAATGATGAAATTAATTCTAGAGATGAAAATGGATGGATCAGATAGGGCTTTAAGGGTGTGTTGTGGTAAGAATAAAATAGAATTGCAACATGAAGCCTCCTCTGCTCCCAACTGCCTGTGCATATACAGCATTAGGGGCGTTGTTTCAATAGGTGCTTTAGGGGAGAGGCTGAGGATTTTATTTTAACTTGCTGCCATCACAGGAGTCTGCTGTGATGTGACTGTCAGCTGGGGGCAGTTCAGTCTTTGAACAGTGATAAGCATGAAAAAGGACAGTGGCCCCAGTGCAATCTTCCTCATTAACCCATGGCTTGGGCATTAGGTCCAGTCTCAGGTTGGAGAATTTGTATGTATGAAAGACCTAGAAACCACAATCAGCAGTGTAACCTTAGTCTTTCTGAGAGTTGAAGGGACCCTTAGTTCATAAAGCACTACTTATGCACCATTTCATTGTGATATTTCCAAAATAAAGCAAAGATTATTGCCCCTATATTATACAGAAGAGGACACTCATTCACCAGTGCCCTGTCTTTAGCACTAATCTTAGTAGTATATCCACATGGTTACAGAGCTGCTGGCTTAGCCTTTGTACCCATACAGTTTCTGTTTATTTTGAAAAAGAGAAAAAACATTAGCTTTATCAGGTGCTTTGTTGTTTTTAAAACCTCTCAGGGTTTGTCTCTACAATTTGATTTGTACAGGCAGTTGGAGCAGGGCCAGCTGACTGGTGAGGACCACTCTGTATGGTAGAAAATCAGGCCCAGGGATGTTTCAGTGTGTGTTTGATGTTATTAGAACTAGTAAGCGTTACACCTGATACTGATGCTGAAGTTGGAACTTTCTGCCTGTTTTGTGTTCTCATTCCTACACAACATACTCTGAGGGACAGCTTGCTTCTTGATGGTACAGAGGACGTCCCAGGAACTGCAGGAGGAGTGTAGGTAGCAGCAGTGCTGCCCATTGTCACCCCCTTCCCATTGTCAGTGTCAGGCAGAGGCCTTTATCTTGAGTGAGCATCTGTGCAGGGACCTTGGCATTATTTGGCCTCTTGAACCCAGGCATCTCCAAGATTCTACAGTTTGCTAGCACCCAAGCTGTTGCCTTTGAGGGTGTTACCATTGCGTTGGTCACAGAAGTGGGTATCTACAAGAGCGAAACGAAACGATGCACAAAATTATATCTAAGCATAACTGACTTTAACTCTTGATTTGCCACTTAACTTTTAAAAGGTGAGTACTTAGTTTTACCTCCTTAGTCTCTTTAACTCCCAGAGATTCACATGGCTTGATAGGATATGATTTATTGTGAGAGACCACGAGTAGGGGGAGTGGACACAAATTTAAGAGCAGGCAATCCAAGTTCCCGTCTTGCCTTCATCACTGAATAAAGCCTTGAACGCATTGCCTCTCTGTGTCTCATCTGAAATTTGGGGAGTCATTACCTCACAGGGGTTTTGTAAAAGTTATGTGAAACAAAAAACCAAGTCTTTTTATCATAACACTTGCAAATATAGAACTCTTAGCTCTTACCGAGAATAATGGCCATCATTTGTTTTATAATAAAAAAAAAATCAGAACCCAAATGAAGTGCGTTTCATGTGTTTATGTACCTGGTCACTGAACACCGTAGATCTTTTTATATTACTTAACCTGGGTCAGGATTTCTTTAGTTCTCTTATCTTTAAGGAGTTGGTGTCTGGTGCTGTCCCATCTCCTTGCCCATCTTTCATTCCCTTTTTTGTTTTGTAGAGCAAGGCTTAGATCACATAGCAGAAAACATTCTTTCCTACCTGGATGCCAGGTCTCTGTGTGCAGCAGAGCTGGTCTGTAAAGAATGGCAGCGAGTGATCTCAGAAGGAATGCTCTGGAAGAAGCTGATTGAGCGAATGGTACGCACGGACCCTCTGTGGAAGGGACTTTCAGAAAGAAGAGGGTGGTAAGTACCCAGTTGAAAAAGTTGCTCTGACATAGAGTCAGCTTGATTACTCTAAAAAGCAATTATGTGCAAGTGTGTTGGCCAATTTTAAAGAAGGGGAGAAGAGGAGGGGAGTAAGGGGAAAGAGTTAAAGCTGTTAGAATTTCTCTTCCTAAATGTGTATTTCCTCTGTTTGTTAACTATTAGGACATTTTGTGTAGCTCAGATGGGTGATTTGGTTTTTCAAAGTTATGTATGCTTTTTTTCTTAAGCAGTGATAACATTACCAGGAGATAGGTAAGATAAAGAAAAAAATCTGAGAAAATGCCATTTTGCTATTATGACTTCCGGTTGTGGACATTGGAGGCATAGGGATAGCATTTTTCCAAGAAAACCTGTGAACTTAAATGCAGATCTGCACCTCTCTGTGTCAGTGGCCTGGCCCAGTTGTCCCCCAGAAAAGCTTCAGAAAGGAACAAGGTGGTTAGAGGAGGGTCAGGAGGAAGTTAGATTTATCACAAAGCCACATTAGCACTTACTAGACTCTCGGGCATGAAAGGCTGGGTATTGTGTGCTGGTCCTAGAAAACAGAAGGCCAGGGCCAAGTCGGTATAGCCGACCTGGTCTCCACCATGGAAACTTAATTGTTGGAAATCTGGCTTTTGACTGGTAAAGCTCAATGCAAGTTAAAATACATGAAAGATAGGATGTCTTTATAACACCATGTTTAAGTAAAATTCACCCATATGCGCGAACTGTAACCTCTGTTTGTGTTTATTTGCCAGGGATCAGTACCTGTTTAAAAACAGACCCACAGATGGCCCTCCCAATTCATTCTACAGATCATTATACCCAAAGATTATCCAGGATATAGAGGTAACTTTATGATTTATCTGTTTTATGGGCTCTTTGTATCCTGTTCTCAACGTTTTGTGTTGCCTTATTATTATTTTTTGTTGTTGTTGTTGTCTTCTTCCATAATCATGGAGCTGGTAAGTTTTTTGTTGTTGTTGTTGTTGTTTTTTAAGAGCTGAGCTTTTGGAGTAAAAGTCAACAATGTATAACCTGCAGTTGTTCTTCAGAGTAAATCATGTCCTTTTACAAAACTAACTTTCTAAATTTTGAAATATTTCTGCAGGGCTGCTAGTTAATTAAAACCTTAATCCACAATCAATTTTTATTCTAATTTGATAAAATTTTCCAAAATCCAAGGCCCAGATTTTTCAGTTAATGCAGTTTTGCATTTTTGAGCTATGTTTTTTGAGAAGGAAAAATGGTACATTCTCAGTTTCCTCTGTAAATTATTCATAGTTTTTCATAAAAATTACTCAGAAATTATTCTAAGCAATAGTTGAGTTTTATAGAGCAAATTATGCTTCTGGACCATTTTGGATTTAAGTATAACTTTACCAGAACAGTAAAACTCTGTAAACTTGATGAGAAACATTAGAGATGTTTGATATTGTTCATGGGTTCTAATTAGTTCAGTTTTATTATTTAGCCCTTTTCCTTGAACCAGGAAAGACATGCACAGGCATTTCTCATTAACTCTTTCCCATGTGTTCTTGGCCAGTCCTGGTTACTTCACTATTTCCTCCTTGGCAGAAAAATTGAGCCTACACTAGGCAGCATTGTATCTCCCATAAAGTTACACGCAGTTTCCCAAATGTGAAGTAATCCTCCCCCCAGGTGATAGACATAAAAGTTATTGTGCCCAAATTCATTAATGGAGAAACATGTGCTCTTTTGGAGTCGTCGTGTCCCCCCCCGTCAGTCAGATGTGAACTAATGGAATCGTTTGGTTAATGGTAAGTCTGAGTGTGCCTGGAATATCATGATTTAAAATACACTCTTGTCTTGAGAATTCTGCTCTCTAAAATGACCTAGAAAGTAACAATTTAAGAGGGTTAAATAATTGAAAACTTCTGCTAGATAAATCATAATGTTGGGGAGTTACTGGATCTGATGGCAGTTCAGGTCGTGGAGTTAGTTACCCTGCAGTGTTGGTGGGTGAGCCTAGTGTTAACTTGGATCTTTGGTTACTGTGTGCACATTTCAGGGGAGTGGCCGTCTCTCCCCTCTATGTGCCTGTACTGAGATGTTGCTATGTGCACATCTTAGAAAATACATGACCTAGTTCTTTTGGGTGGGGCCAAACAAATTACCTCCAAATTTCTTTGAATGATTTTATCAGGTAATTTATTTAGAGAAGGATGATATTGAAATCTGGGAACTTTTGGAAGACTTTTGATCAGGTTGAAGAATTGATTATGTACTTTTATTTAATTCTCATGACTACTGTTATTATGGGCAGTGTGCACTCATGGCAACCCATTTCCTCAGGCTACAGAAATATTTTAAAGTTAGCAGAGCCATGGGGAAACCCTCTCCGGCAAGAACCTCTGCATCTCAGTGGTCTTCCCAGTGGTTCTGAAAGTGGGCTTGAGAAAACCCACTGGTTGACCGCAAGAGTCTCCTCCAGATTTTTGGGCAAAATCTCTCAGAATAAGGGGTGATGTTTATATTTTGTTATATTCACTAGTGACAAAAATAGTGTACCACTAATGGAGCCTGTACTTGTGCCAGATACTTTGTTTTGCACTTAATAATCCATTTCTCAATTGAATATTCTGGACAAAACCTGACAAGTAGATTAGTCCTTGTTCAAAGTTGAAGAATTGGGCTCAGAAAGGTTCTGCAGTTTGCTCTGGGTCCTACATCCGGGGAGGGAGTGGGCCTGGGACCCACATCTGCTCTTCTGCCCTGCACACAGTGTTTGTAACATAGGTTACTGAAACCAGTGCCAGCAATGACATGATTGATATTTATCACCTCAAATCAGGGGTTCACCTCTTTTGGGGAGTAAGCCTTATTCTGCCCAGGGTAGAAAGTTCTTTCAGAAATATGGATTAAACAAACAAGAAGCTCTCAAGTGCCTGGCATTGCCCTTACAGCTGGTCGGAAACCCTAGTAAGCAGGTTATAGTAATGATAAATACCCTCTTTGAGCCCTTGCAGTAAAACATGAATTATATTGGGCGATTTATATAGATTATTGCTTTAATTTTTACAACAAGGTGTAAACCATTATTCCTGTCTGTTGTAAAAGGAAACTAAAATTAAGTTTTAGGATTTGCTGCATAGTTAAGAGATGGGCGTTAAGCCTACAGTTGTTAGCATTTACAGTTACATTTTCACATGGGAAATCCCAAGAGGTGAGACAGAAAGAGGCATGTGTTTTATGCCTGCAGAGTTTCACCTTGGTCTTCTCATCTTACTCGGAAGTGTGTGAATACTTGGCATCCTTGACTGAGTTAAGATAAGAGTAGTGACAAAAATAGTGTACCAAGTGGCCTTGTTTGGGTTCAGTTTTTTKGGGGAAAGATAGTCTTGACAGGACCTTTAGCACACTGCAGAAAGGTGAATCCACTGGGAGTGCCCAGGGGATGTTCATGTCCCTCCACACCTTCCAGTCTCCTGTCTCTTCCCTGGTGCTTTTTGAGGCTGCCAGTTCAAAACACCATCCCCCCCCCCCTTTCCTTCTTCCCTTACCTTGACAGCTTACTTCATGTGCTGGCTCCTGTAATCCATCCATTCCCAGATTTGGTTCTGATGAGCATGAAAGAAATGTTCACTTGAACTTTGCCCTTCTGCATTGACCCATCAGGACTTGACTAAATTTTAAGGATTAAGTAGGCAACCTAGCTGAGTGTGGCTGGTTCCTGTTGTTTAGAAAATGAGGGTGTGAGGCATGCAGGCTGAAGAGCATGAGCACACATTCTTAGCTTCTGTGAAGGTCCATCTCTGCTGGTGTTCTGGCTGCACACGGAGAGGGTCTATAGGGCCTCTGTGCCGGGGAGTTCGGAGCCTCACTGCTCAGAGTGGTACCATCCTGCTTTACTGTCTGGGGTCGCTGCAGTCACTTTTATTATTCGTGGTGGCTTACTGCTGGGCACTTTGCTGTAGTGATGTAATTTCATCCTTAGATTGTCAAAACTGCCACCTGCACTYGTCCTCCGTGCCGCTCAGGGCCCTCCACAGAGAGATGTTACAACAGACTGGTCAGAGTTCTGTTGTCCTGCACTTGGATTTTTGTCATCTGCCTTTCAGAGTGGTGACAAACTCCTTCATGCCATAGACCCTTTGCCTCTCTTGCTCACTGGATTGAAGGTACTGAAGCGCTCTGCTTAGCAAGGAGACCATGGGGAAAATGATGGTATGTCGGGTGGCACCTTTCAGTAAGCCACATGACGTGGGGAAAGTGGAGCGCTTTTTTGTGGTTTGCAGACTTGATATTAACATTGTCCTGACCAGAAAACTCTGAAACTGCCCACCCACCCAGTGTGTTTAGGCTTCTAAAAATAATGTTATTCCTCCATCCTCAGACATCTGTTTTCACTCTATTGCCAATTTAAATGCCGCTGTATATTCTGTGTATCATGGCTACCTTCCCAGTATTTTGAAAATTTTCGCCGGGTAAGGGGATTTTACAAGTTCTCAAAGACACAAAGTACTCCTCTACGGTAGCAGTGACACAGGATGCCTAAGTGAAATGCCAGGTATCCACATAATTAGAGAGGCACACCTGTATGGTCTGGTTCCTGCGGCTGCGTTAACCTGAGTTGAATTCCACGTGAAGGCTGAGCTCGTGCCCCCTGCCCTCTGCCCGCTGGGTTGGGATGCTGAAGCCCTTGCCATTGAATACCAGTCTAGACCCAGACACAACTCCTGGAAATTTGTTGAAGATATACACACACAAACACATATACACATATAAAATTTATTTATTTGTTACAGCCTGCTATTTTTGGTCAATTTTTTTTCTCAATAGGCACTCTAAAAAGCATTTCACATATGTAATCTTCCTCGATCCTAACAATAACTCCAAGGGAGTGGTTATTACTACTCCTGTGTTTACAGAGGAGGAAATTGTTGCTTAGACGTCTGAGTCATTTTTGCCAAAGCTGCTACTTGACCTGGGAATTTTCTACCACAGTGGGCTGCATGCCAGTTTTCAAGGTCTAGTTTTTTTGAAAAAGACCTGTTTTGAAGGCATTCGAGTTGGAGTGGAGGTCGTGAGACCTGGTGGTATCTCTGGCAGTCAGTCAGTGGAGCGCTGCCTGCTCGTGTGGGTGGCCAGCTAGACTCCCTTGTCTTGGGATTCTGAAACTGAATGATTTTTTTTTTTTAACCAGAACTTCCTAAAATGGCCCACCAAGGATCATTTGCAAAGTTTTTATTTTAAAATTCAGAAATAAGTTTTTCAGAAATTGGGCCCCTTGACTTTGATTCAACTTAGAATGAAAGGGTGATGTCTAGGAGAGCTTTAGAGAGGTCCTGCCCTCTGGCTCTTGTTTACAGTGGGGTAGATGGTGTGACTCCACCATCAATGTTGGAGGGGGGTCATACTCTCTGTCCAAACATCTCTGGGACTGAAGCATCCCAGGCTGTGTGGCCTTACCCTTGATCTTCTCCCTGGTACTCCCTATTGTGTCTTTAGAACTTCAGGTACAGTGAAAGATTGGGACTAAGTCACCCAATTCTAGGAAACACCTTGGAGTAGTGGGAGAACCTGTAGGATCCCCTACCCCTTCTTTTTACGTGGAAAAAAAAGGTTTGTTTGTTTGTTTTTTTGCAGGTGGAATATTTGGGACTGAACTCAGGGGCACTCAACCACTGAGCCCCATCCCCAGTCCTATTTTGTATTTTCTTTAGAGACAGGGTCTCACTGAGTTGCTTAGCGCCTCACTTTTGCTGAGGCAGGCTTTGAACTCACAATCTTCCTGCCTCAGCCTCCTGAGCTGCTGGGATTACAGGTGTGTGCCACCTGCCCGGCGTTTTTTTATTTTTGTGTTTTTTCCCCAAACTCTCATGTAATAGATAGTAAATGTGTTTTCTCTTCATTGAAATACAGACTAAGAAAGCTACTTACTGATGCAATGATGTTATAAGCTGTTGTGTATTCTTTAAACCTACGAACAGTGATACAAATTTTAAAATACCTGATATATATGTAAGACATGTTGTGTATTCATCTTTGTAATATTCTGGGTTCACATAGAGTCATGTATTCTATATCAACTCTGGTGGTTCTCAGAGAGTGTCACTTGCATATGGAAACTCCTTGCCAGAGTTGATGGCTAGGAAAAAGGCTTGGGGTCAACACACCTCGCCTCCTCTCTCAGCATTTTCCTGGAGTGCTGGCACGCCGAGGTAGCTCAGTCTCTATGGAAAGAAACAACATTTCTTTAAATGATTCCAAGCATTAAGTTTAGTTAAAGAAATTACATTCTGGACCCCTTTTTAAAAAGTTGCTTATATGGACAGAGACCTGTTACCTGTTGTCTGCCTTGGTAGAGACGGAAGAGTTGGGGTGAATGACTTTGAAATGTGGTTTTATATGCCTGGCATTTTACTGACTTCCAAGAGATGATCTGGGTAAGAAGTCCTGACTTGTAGCAGTTGAGTAAATACTTATGTCCTTGTTCCTGGCATTTCCATCGTGCTTCCTGCATCCTGGTGTTGGGACCTCCCTCAAGGCTGTGAGTGAGGGTTCTTTTATTGTAGGGATCCTGTATCTAGGACCCTTGCAAAGCCACAGGGCCACAAATGATGAGAACAGTTCCATTTAAGTATATGTGCATCAATATCTCAACCCTGCATTTACTCTTCTATAAAATGCAAACAATAATTCCTACTTCAGAGTGATTATTAAACTGGCTACAAACTCCATCAGCCTCCCAGTGTGAGGATTCCAGGCCCACAGGTTCAGTCAACTGCAGATAACAAATATTTGAAAATAAATTGTGTCTGTATCGAGCGGGTACATACATTTATTTCTGGTCATTATTCCCTAAACAATACAGTAAAACAACCGTTTACATGGCATTCACATTGCATCAGGGATTACAAGGTCCCCAGAGCTGATTTAAAGCCTATAAAGAATATGCACAGGTGACAGGTGCTTCTCCACCACTTTACAGAAGGAGTTGAGCATCTGCAGATTTTGGAACCTGTGGCGCATTGTGGAACCAATTTCTGTGGGTGCTGAGGGGGATTATGTATGAAACACACAGCAGAAAATTAGGAAAGCAAGAGCCTGCTCAAAGCATGCAGAGAAGTTTAACATTGCAAAGAGTCAAGAAGCATATTGCCTTCAAAATAAGCAGAAATGTGGTATTCAATGTTGGCAGAGCCAGCATTTGGGTGCTCACTGGAACTACCGATGAAATCTTACCTCCTTTCTTCAACAAAGCAAGTAATTAAGTTTTTAGTTACTCAAAGATAAGTAGCTATTCATGTAATCTTAAAACTATTATCCTAAACTGGGTGTAACCAGTTATTGAAGTCCTATTGTCTTCTAATTTCAAGGACCAAGAACTCAGAGTTTGGTTATTCTCAGTAGAAACATTGTATCTTTTGATCCAGAAAAATCTCTCATAGCTATCAAAGAGGTGATTGAGTTTTGCCAGTTGTCTCCTTCAAGTCCTGCAGAGCATAAGAGTTTGGGGATTGAACCCAGGACCTTGTGCATGAGAGGCAAGCACTCTATCAACTGAGTATATATCTATAGCCCTGGCGTGGATGTTCTATTTGAATTGTTGGTGGTCTTATGACTCTAGAGCTCAGACCATCTTTCCTGAGAGGCATGATATACATTAGTAGCAAAAGCCTGGGCTGAGTCAGAAAGAACTGGGCAGGATTTCCAGGTAGTATAGTTAGTAGTCTGTGACCTGAGGCAAGTTGTTTTCTTGTTTGTAAAAGGGGACTAATGAGAACCTTCCAAGGTGATTGCATCGATCCTTTAACCAGATAAACTTAATTTGAACTATAGATGCTTCTCAATTTATAGTGGAGTTAACATCCTGATAAACCCACTGTAAACTGAAAATGCATTTATTCTTAACCCACAAAACATCTAGCTTAGTGACACACTGTACTGCAGAGATTTGGTTGTTTCCCTTGTACCGGGTGACTGACTGGGAGTTGTGACTTGCTAACATTGCCCAGCATTACAAATGGCTAGCCAGGGAAAAGATCAGGATTCAAAGTGCAGTTTCTACTGAATGCGATTTCTCCTGAATGTGTATTGCTTTGGCACCATGAATCTAAAGCATCATACGTCAAACCACTGCAGGTGGGGGACTGTGGGACTGTCGGTCCAGTTCCATACACTATGGGCTTGGGTCTTCTTTGAACACAGATGCTTCCTGGGTCTTTTTATCCCCACTTCCTAACACAGTGCCTGGAACAGACAAACATCTCAGTAAACGTTGCTGAATGATGAAAGAATGAGACTCCGGGTTGAAACATGCCATTCTCACTCTAAGGCAACTTGTAAAGAAATACAGAATTCTGTGATGGGGTGTGTGTACTAGTTGCACAGTGTCTATTCTCAATGATCCAGACGGTGCTTTGGTTGGCTACCTAGATTGTCAGTGCATGCTTAATGATGCCAGCAGTCTTTTGACCAATATTTTAATTGGCAGTAGGGAGTGACCCAATGAGTTATTATTTATTTGTGTGTTTTGGGTACAAATGACATTCTTTAAACATATTGAATTCTGTCTAGGCCATTTTAGACCTAACCCAAAACTCATTGGAAATCCTATGATAGTTGCCAGATGGGCAGGGAAAGTTTGAGAAAAAACATTGTTGGGCTAATATCTTACTTGGAAAAGAGTGTGAGTCCTCTCCACAGACAGTTATGCAAACCAGGATTGGGGTATCGGTGGTATGCTACTTCTGGAAGCAGCAGCAGATTCTGAGACCTAGTAGAATAGTTGATTTACACAAGCTCATCTCTTGCCTCCTTTCCCCCTAGACTATAGAATCCAACTGGCGGTGTGGACGACACAACTTGCAGAGGATTCAGTGCCGCTCTGAAAACAGTAAAGGTGTCTACTGTTTACAGTATGATGATGAGAAAATCATCAGTGGCCTACGAGATAATTCTATTAAGGTGAATGACTACTGCATTTTGTATGTGTTATTGTTAGAATTGTGATTATGTGTTAGACACTAGATGTGACCGTCTTTCCATTTATTCAGATTGGGTCTTAGCAGTTCCAATCAACCTTGGCAACTCCAGTGTGGTTCTAAAGAGCATTTCCCTGTGACTAATGATGTGACCCTGGATTGTCTCCTTGTTCTGAGTACACACAGATTCTGTATTCTCTGTTCAGGTGCAAATAGAGGGTGTCCAGTGTCATTGCATTTACAGTTTCTGAGAAGGGCTCAGGTAATATGGAAAGTGATGAGCAGCTTCTATTGTTTTCCCTCACTCTTCAGTCCTAGATGAGCTGCATCATTTTTCCATGTTTAGTCTGATTGGCCTTATCTGGCAGTTTGGTTCACATTGTAGCTTATTTCCTCAAATTTAAGAAAATGTTGAGTTTTTTTAAGTTTTTTTTCTTTCTTGGTATAATTTTCATTCAATAAAGTTTGCTCCTTTTTTTAATATTTGATTTTTTTTAGTTGTTGATGAACCTTTATTTATTTTTATGTGGTGCTGAGACTCGAACCCTGTGCCTCACACATGCTAGATGAACGCTGTACCACTGAGCTACAGCCCCAGCCCCAAGTTTGCTATTTTTGACAGAAAGCAAACCCACAGTGGTGCCTAACAGTTCTGTTGTTCCTTCAGAGTCCTTCACACTGCTCTTTTAGAGTCACCTCTTCCCACCCATCCCATGCCCTGGAAACCAGTGGTCTTTTTTTTACCATCTCTACAATTTTTTGCCTTTTCCAGAATATTTTCTTAATCAATTCATGTAGTGTGTATCCTTTTTTTKGGGGGGGGGAGCGGTACTGGGATTGAACTCAGGGGCACTTGACCACTGAGCCTTATCTCTAGCCCTATTTTGTATTTTATTTAGAGACAGGATCTCACTGAGTTGCTTAGCGCCTTGCTAAGTTGCTGAGGCTGGCTTTGAACTCACAGTCTTCCTACCTCTGCCTCCTGAGCCACTGAGATTACAGGCTTGTGCCACTATGCCCAGCTAGTGTGTATCCTTTTAATTCTGACTTTAGCTGAGTGTACTGGAGACCATCTGTGTTGGTGCAGCTAGTAGTACTTCATTCCTTTTTATTGCTGAGTAGTTACCACAGTGTGTTTATCTATTTAGTTGTTGAAGGATATTTGTATTATTTGCAGTTTCTCATAATTGTGAATAAAGCCACTATAAGTTCATGCATGTAGATTTTTGTGAAAATGTAAGTTTTCAGTTTATCTGAGTAAAACCTGGGAGTGGGCTTACTGATTCAGATGGTAAGATGGTCCTGGGTTTGGTGATAACATTTTAGATATAATAACAGAAGAATTGTCTATAAAAGAAAATAATAAGATAGATGTCACTAGAATTAAAGATTTCTGCTCTGTGAGATACATTGTCAAGAGCAGGAGAAAATAAGCCGTAGTCTGGGGAAAAGATTTGTCAAAGACATATCTGGTGAAGAAGTGTTATTCAAATGTGCAAAAAATTTTTTAATTAGAAAAAAAATGACTTCAGGGACTAGGATTGTGGCTCAGTGATAGAATGCTCGCCTAGCATGCAAGAGGTACTGGGTTCTATCCTCAGCACCACATAAAAATAAAAGTATTGTATCCACCTACAACTAAAAAAAAAATTTAAAAATGACTTTAGACTTATTTTTGACAATAAGAAAACATACAACCACATTTTAAAAATGGGCAGACTGTAATAAGAGAACTCATTACAGGTGGCAGGTGGCAAACCAGCATTTGCAAAGATATGTGCCACATCACCTGTTGTCAAGAAAATGCAAATTAAAACAATACTAGTATTGCTGTATGTATATACGTGGCTGTATAACCAGTGTGATCCTGTAATCTGTACACGTGGAAAAATGAGAATTCATACACCATTTGAATCAAAGGTATAATATGTCAAGATCATTATATTGTCTTGAACAACTAATTTTAAAAAAGTGAGCTACCGCAGCATGTCCAGTAAGATGGCTAAAATCCATAACACTGACAACACCAAGTGGTGGCAAGGATGTGGAGCAACAGCAACTCCATTGTTCATTCTGGTGGAAATGTCAAATGGAACTGCTGCTTTGGAGGGCAGTTTGGCAGTTCTTACAAAATTAAACGTACTCTTGCCATTGGATCCAGCAAAGGAGTTGAAAACTTATGTCCACCCAGAAACCCACACACAGATTTTTATTGCAGCTTTGTTCATAATTGCCAGGGCTTGGAAACAGTAGATGAATGGATAAATACACTGTGATACAACCAGATGATAAGGGATGTTTGGCACTAAAAAGAAATTGGTTTATCAAGCCGTGAAAGGACATGGAGGAACGTTTAATGCATCTTACTGAGTTAAAGAAGCAATCTGAAAAAAAAGGCTGGTGTAGATTCCTGCTGGGGGACATTCTGTAGAAGACAAAACTGTGTGGACAGTAAAAGGAGAGAAGCAACACTCAGTATAAAAAGCCTATTTCTAACATTTTATTTCCTTTTAATCTTTTTAGCAAAATATGTAGTCATTATGTCACTCTGTAGACCATTTTTATTCAGGTTTTTAAGTGTTTAATTCTCTGTAATAAAGCATGGTGTCTTCTCAGTAAGACCTCTTTATAGTTTACCCTGGGATTTTTCTGAAATGTTGAGCTTTTCATTTTTTATTTTTGTAAACATAAGGTAGGGGCTGTACATTTATAAAGGGCCTTAATTGATGTTGTCACATTGTTTTCCAGAGGATGAGCAGACTCTTTGCAAATTTTATTTTATTTTTTTAATTTTGGGGGGCGGGGTACTGGGGATTGAACTCAGGAATACTCAACCACTGAGCCATGTCCCCAGCCCTATTTTGTATTTTCTTTAGAGACAGGGTCTCACTGAGTTGCTTAACACTTTGCTTTTGCTGAGGCTAGGCTTTGAACTCGCAATCCTCCTCCCTCAGCCTCCTGAGCCACTAGTTACAGGCTTGTGCCACTGAGACCAACCCACAGATTTTATTTTAAAAATTTCTCTTAGAATTCAGCTGATAATTTTAATGAGAACAGTACAAATTGAACAAAGTAGCACTTTGATTCTGGAAGTTAATTAGTACCTCCCATATTCTTTCTTATCATTTCCTACCCGTTTAACCATTCTTACCATAACACAGGTGTGTTTTATGATTCAGAACACAAGGTATAACAACATTTATAAAAATGTTATCCGCTAAATCATTGTTTATGGTTGGTCTTGTCTCCATAGATTTGGGATAAAACCAGCCTGGAATGTTTGAAAGTGTTAACAGGACACACAGGCTCTGTCCTCTGTCTCCAGTATGACGAGCGTGTCATTGTAACTGGCTCTTCGGATTCCACAGTGAGGTGAGTGATTAGCTTCATGGCGCAGACCTGTGTTCCCTCTGTGGGGGAGGCCCCAGGCTTCCTGTTTTCTTGGGTCAGCACACATGCTTTCCATGTTTGGACTCATCAGAACCAAGTTTGATATCGATGAGTCTGAGCCATGTAGGCAGGAGAGCTCATTTTTAAGTGTGTCGTCTTCCCCTTGCCAGTGTTATAGAGATAGCAGCGTGCTTTCCTGTAGAAGCGCGTGGCCTGGCCCAAGGCCTGCCTTCTCCTCTTGGAGCCTGTGGTCTGGAACAGAGAGGAGGAAGGTTGCTGTTCTGGGAGAAGGGTGGGCGCCAACCTGCAAGTACCAGGGGGTTTGGGGGGTGGACCAGAGTCGGTTTTCAGACCCGTCTGAGAGTCTTGGGGAAAGTCAGATCTGAGAGCAGAGAGTGCTAGGTGTCTGTGTGTTGTGTTGTTGAGTTCTCACATCAGCCTTGGTAAGCCCGTAGATGGTATATTTATTTTAATAAAGATATTAGGAAGCCAAGTCCAGAGAAGTTAGATAATTCCTTAGAACCACGCAGTCCCTCCATTCGGAACTTCAAAGGTACATTGGTCAGGACTGTGGGCAGCAGTCTTGTGGTGGAGACTTGACTTCTCAGCTGCCACCAGAACAGAGTGATAAAGGTGGACATGGCCTGTCCCAGAGCAGCAGTGAAGCACTGGCTGCTGGCTGGGTGTGGAGGAGTGGGCAGGGGACTTCCTGAGATCCTTCCCACCCCACCGTGGCCAGCAGGCTTCTCCACTCCTGGTGGACTTTGTTAAGAGAAGTGATGTGTCCAGCAGAGAGAGAGAGGACGTGCGGCAAAGCCCCAGCTGGACTGCAGGGGATTGAAGGATTGGAGAGCGGAGGCACTCCTTCTTCTGGGCTGACCCTGGTATTGCAGGCACCTGTCCAGGCACCTGACCCTGGATTCTCAGGCTTTCTGGTCTCCTGTCCTCAGCGGACCTCTCGGCCTTTCCCTGGCTCACCACCTCCAGACTGAGATTTCTTCTGCAGATGGCGTCTCAGCCTTAGAGGATTTAGTCTTTCTTCTCTGTTCTGGGTGGGGGTGTCGTCTTACAAGATTGGGGCTACAGAAAAGCTCTTTTTTTTGGAAGGGCTGCTCCTAAGAACTTCGTGTCTCAAGCCTGGAGCCACCAGGAGACCCTGGCTTTGTCCCTGAAGTGAAGCAGTGGGTGTGGTCAGTGATGAGACTAGAGTGAGGCTTGCCAGAGGACAGCAAGCACCTCAGCTCAGCCGCAGCCTCCTCCCGATTGTCATCCCAGACCCACTGGAAGCCTGCTTCCTTTAGGGACCATCTTGGCCCTGGCATGAGCCTGCAGCGCCATCCCTGGGTACCTGAGTGTCAAGTAAACCTGAGCAAAGCCAGAATTAGCTGCCTCTCTGAAACCATTTCTGAACTTCTTGGCAAACAAATTGCAGCTGGGGTTCCCCCTTTTAGCATGTGCTTGGGTGTGTTCAGTGGACGCAGTGCTCAGCTTCAGAAACTGTCCCTGGCCGTCAGTGATGAAGCACCGTGGTTTCTGTTCTCTAGAGTCTGGGACGTGAACACAGGGGAAGTTCTTAACACATTGATCCATCACAATGAAGCCGTACTGCACTTACGCTTCAGCAATGGACTGATGGTGACGTGTTCCAAGGACCGCTCTATTGCTGTGTGGGACATGGCTTCTGCCACCGATATCACTTTACGCCGTGTCTTGGTTGGCCACCGTGCTGCAGTCAATGTGGTAGACTTTGATGATAAGTACATCGTGTCTGCCTCCGGTGACAGGACCATCAAAGTAAGTGTGCCTGCATCCTAACCCTGCCTGTTTCTGACCTTTATACGTCAGAGAGATGGCTCATGGCCTGGTACCTGGCAGGATCTCTGTTTGCTCGTGAGCCCTTGCGACCCTCCCCATTGTGTGCTTCTGGAGTCACAGACAAATCAGAAGGAAAAGCCATGGGTCATAATGGAGGACAGTCCTCAACTTGGTGACACAGCTTTGTTGATAACCTTTTAARGGGAGGAGAACTCACTATTGGCACACGGGTTGTGTGTGAGGAGCTTCCCACAACCGGCCTGCCCTCCTGGCACCCTGCAGAGGTGTGGCAGGTCTTAGATTTGATTTATTCTCATGATGTTGAGAGCTTGCCATGCCACAAGCCCTATGCTGGACGTTCAGCCCAGGTTGACCAGAAGGTGCAGGCTAGGGGAGCACACGAGGTGGCGGGTGTGGTTCTGAGTCCGGTATCTGTTTCACCCTTTGCAAATTTTAGCTTTCCTATATTTTCATAACAGCTTTCCTGAGGTTTATTTTTAATCATGATATTTTTTTAACCTTTATTTATTTATTTATTTATATTTTTTATTTTTTAGCTGCAGTTGGACACAATATTTTATATCTTTATTTTTATGCAGTGCTGAGGATCGAACCCAGGGCCTCTTGCATGCTAGGCGAGTGCTGTAGTACCTACCGAGCTCCAGCCCCAGCTCCGTGGGTGTGTTTTCCACACCACTAGATTCAGTGTTTTTGAATGTGCGATCCAGGGGCCCTTGACGTTCACAGGGTTGCCCGGCATCTCCACGGTCTATTCCGACCACTCTGATCACATTTCCATCTAAATCCCTAAGGCCTGTTAACAGTCAGCCTGGCGGTAGTCAGGCTGCCTCTGCCTCTGCCTCTGCCTCTGCCTCTGTGGATTCGTCTGTTTGGGGCGTTTCTTATAAACGAGGTCTTACTTCTGTGTCTGGCTGCTTTCATTGAGTGTCCTTTTTAGGGCTCACCCACGAGCATCACTGCACACATCAGGACTTCATTTCTTCTGAGGGTCAAGTAAGAATGCCATTGTGTGAGTGGACCACATTTTGTTTGTCCAGTTATCAGTGGATGTGCCTTTTGTTTACTTCCATCATTTGGCTCTTACTCATAATGCTGCTGTAAACATTGGTGTGTAAGTTTTTGCATGTTCATTTGTTTTCAGTTCTCTTGGAATGACAGCTCTGGGTTGGACATTTTGTGGAACTGCCAAACTGTTTTTTCCAGAGTGTCTGCAGTAAGAGTTTGAACTTGCTCTAAGAACTTTCTGTTAGTGACCAGCGTTCGACAGCATTCTGATATTTAGTAGCCCCACAGATCTTGGACTGAGTTGTGTCAAGCTTTAGGTTTCGAGTAGTTTGGAAGCTGAATGGCCAGTTTGAGTGCATTAGCCTACTCACTCCACACTCACACCAGTCAGTGCAAGATCAGTGCTTGGAATTCAGGAGAGTTTGGGGCTGATTATAGAGCAGCTCCTTCATAATATCAGTTGGCAGGATTTCTCCCCACCTTTGCCAACTCTTGTTACTATCTTTTTGATTATAGCTGTCCTGGCGTGTGTGCAGAAGATTCTCTGTGGCTCTGGTTCACATTCCCTAATGACTAATAAAAACTGAGCATCTTTTCTATGCTTTTTGGTCATTCAAATACCTTCTTTGGAGAAATGTCTACTTAATTCTTTTTTTACACTTCAAAAATTGGATGATTTGTCGTCTTATAATTGAGTTGTAAAAGTTTTGTTTTGGTTTATTTTTTTAAAATATATATTCTGGATACAAGACCCTTATCAGATATATGGTTTGCAGATATTTTCTCCCATTCTTTAAGGGGTGTCTTTTACTTTCTTGCTGGTGTCCTTTGAAGCACAAATGATTTTAAATTTATTGATTTCCAGTTTATCAATTTTTTCCTTTTCTTGCCTTTGCTCTTGTTTTTATATCTAAGAATCCACTGCTGAAACCCATGTCACACAGCTTACTCTTGGGTTTTCCTCAAAGAGTTGCATAGCTTCAGCTTATTTAAGTCTTTGGCCAGTTTTGAATTAACATTTTTTATATGGTATGAGATAGGGGTCCAGCAACTCCTTTTGTTTTTCATTTTTCCATGTATATATCTGWCCTGTTCAACCACAGATGCAGCTGGTACAGTAAATCAGGGTGCTCCAGTTGTATCTCCTGTTCAGTGTGCCTGTGGACATTGAAGTCTTCCAGATAAGTTCACAGGAAAGGAGATTGTTCACTCCACCTCTGTAATACTGAGTGGTATGTCAGAATAAATGGAGATATTCTAGAAGCTGCTGGGAAAGAGGAGGAAAGGTGAAGCTTTTTATATTAGTTAACACTGGGTTTGACATGTCAGCTGGCCTGCAGTCAGAATCTGGTATCAGCTCTCTCCTCTGTTGAGTGAACGTGTGCACCCTCCAGGAGAAGCTTTCTCCTTGAAGGTCCCAGGGTTCACAGACTGCACAGCTTCCCTCTGTTTTTCACTCCAGTTTTATCACACAGTAGCTAAGAAAATCTTATGCTCTCCAGTCTGTCCCCTAGCTTCCAAATTTGAGTTAGAAGAGACTATTTTATAATCCTGTCTTTGACTCATTCTTAAAAGCTCTCATATTTCCACTTTTCAAAAGGCACTTTGTGGGAGGACTTTTCTGTGTTTATTCTTGAAGACATGGCTTTTGTCCTGCAGGTCTGGAGCACGAGCACCTGTGAGTTCGTCCGGACTCTGAATGGGCACAAGCGAGGCATCGCCTGTCTGCAGTACAGGGATCGGCTGGTTGTCAGTGGATCATCAGATAACACCATTAGGTGGGTGCACTTTGGCATGCGAGCAGGGTAGACTTATTTTTGCCATAGTATCGATTTACCTCCCAGTCCTGTTTGGTTCTGTGTGCTCTGAGTAGGAAAGCTATGGGCCGTGGGTGGGGGTTCTTCCTAGAGCCCCCCAGCACACAGGCCTATGCCCTTAACTCCACCATGACCACTTACTACCAGAGCCTCCGAATGGACGGGGTGCTCCAGCCCGGCGCTCTGCTTCCCTCGCCTGCAGACCTGCCTCTCTGCAGCAGATAACAGTCTGCTTTATGTCTCCCCCAGAGATGGCATCTCAGAGTCACCCCCTCCTGCTGGCTGGTTCTCTTCCCTCCCTTTTCTCTTTCCCAGAGCCAGTCTCCTTCCTTTTTAATGACTAGACGTAGATATTTTATATCTTAAGAGCATCCCTTATTACCTGTTCAAGCCATCTTTTCCACTGTCCTGGAACATGTTAGTAGTAGCTTTACAGAAGTGACCGTCACTGTGTGGTTTATAACCAAATTGCCTAATGTTTGGGAAAAATAAATATTATTAGAAAAAATAATTAAAAACAAGAAAAGGAAAGGAAACAAGCAGATAATAACAACAAAAGACTATAAATGCCATAAATTTTCTTTTTTCAGTCTTATTTTATTTTTAATTGATGTAGTAATTATATGTATTTATGGCGTATTGTGCATCTAAAATTTAGGTCTTATTTTCTTTTAAGATTTATAAAAGTTAGTTTAGAGCTTCTATTGTGGTTTTCTTCATCGTGCTTTGTAATATTGCTTTTATGTTTTGTCAATAAAAAGTCCTTTACTTCCTCATTACAATTTTTGCAGTTTTATAAAATAGTGTGTATTGCTTTGCAATTGGTTGAAAGGAGCCACCTTGGAGTCATAGTAGCCGTGCCAAATGGCTCTGTTCATCCTGGGTTAGAGGAAGTAGTCTTACTTTCGGAAGCAGATCTGCTGGGGCCTGTAGTCAGGTGTTTGTGGGGTTGTGATGGGAGTCCCTGAGAAAGGCATCATGCCTTAGTGTGCACCCTGGCTTTGCATGGGCTGGTTTGCTGTGGTTTCTTTTTGCAAGTAATGTGCAGAAATCAACCACAATAGAGAAAACCAAACATCTAACTCTAGAATTATATAAATCAGATGCAGAGGAAAAGGCTTCAATGTAGTTAGTTGGTTTTTATTTCCAATTCAACTGTACATGCCTAATGCGTCTCCCAYTCAGGCCCCGTAAACCGGGCAGCCCTAGTATACTGTACACGTCAAGGAAGAGGTGTCCCTAAGCCTTTTGAGGATCAGGAGGCCGCCGTGCTGGTCTGCCAGTCCTGACTTCAGTAGACGTGGACTTTGGCTGCAGTCTGGTGAGGTCAGCTCTCTGCCCCTCTTGCTCCTCTGCATTTTTTTCTCCCACGACCAGCAGCCTGGTTTCCTCCAGGAAAGTCCTCCCAGACCATCTAACTATGTGCTGTCAAAAACTCAGACACCGGGCGGATACCTAGGAACTAAACATAGTGGGGGTTTCTGTTGGGTGCTTTGACTCAAATAGTCAGTGTCACAACTTAGATGGTGTGAAAACAAGCACAGCAGAAAGCCGGATTGCCTCTCCTTAATTAGTGCTAAAACACACAAAGGGTGTAAGTGTGCTCACATGTGCAGTGTGGACTAAGGAGTGTGATATGAAGAGCTCAAGGCAGCAGAAACCATGTCGGGAGGAGCAGAGAGGAAGAACTGGAGGGCTGGGTGAGTCTCACGTAGGGGTTTGTTACAGTTGTCTCTTTCTCTTTCAAGGCTGTGGGATATCGAATGTGGCGCCTGTTTGAGAGTCCTGGAGGGACACGAAGAACTGGTGCGATGTATTCGGTTCGATAACAAGAGGATTGTCAGTGGCGCCTACGATGGGTGCGTGTTTGAGGTCTTCAGACCCGCGGCGCTGTCGGAGCCCGCAGAGGAGTAGGGCAGCTCTGTGTGTCGCCCTGCTGGAACTCTTTGCAAAGCTGGAGGGCAGATGTTGTGATAGGTCACTGTATTTCCTAAGGTTTCACTTCCTACCAACCTCGTACACTCAGGGGATAAGTAGCAGGGGATTTGATTCTTGTCCTTTGTCCTAAATAAACCACACCTTTCCCCCCCTCCTTCTGGTGAATTCATTAATAAATTCCTTTTTCCTTTTTGGTGAATTGAGCATACCCTTTTAAGAACACCCCCTGGTGTTTCAAGTGAGCAAATGGCGACCGTAACCTTTGAGATGACCATATGTGTATGTCTCCCTTCTGGTCAGTTGGTCTGCTTGTACTCCTGTCTCTCACTCTCAGCATTTGCTGTGTTTGGAGAAAGGCACCCCTGGAGTTCCACACAGAGCCCTTGCTTCTGTCCACAGCACCTGCTTAGCCCCAGCAAATCTCCTGGTGGATAACTTTGTTAGTGTAGATTATCAAGTCAGGAATTGAATTTAGATAACCTGAAGTGTTTTTTTTTTTTTTTTAAATCTCCCTTCAAATATTTCTTTATGATATCAGCAAGTCTGAGAATGTTTACGTCCTTTTTTCCCCCAACATCAAGTGTGATTGGTTCAAAAACTTGTAGAAACGTTAGCATATTGCCTACTGGGCTGTACGATGGGCAGTTCAGGTGCACCCCTTTTTGCCAGGGAAGTGCTTGGCAAGATAGAAGACGTTACCACTCATCACAGCCTCATTTTTTTTTTTCTAGGAAAATTAAAGTTTGGGACTTGCAAGCTGCTCTTGACCCTCGAGCCCCGGCAAGCACCTTGTGTCTGCGCACATTGGTGGTATGTGATGTGTTGAAGCAGGAGTTGGTCCCTGGGCCGTTGGCAAGTGGCCCTACATGGGCAACATCAGAAAGCTTATGTATCTCACAGCCTGCCTTCAGGGAAACTTGCTTTGGTTAGCCAAAATCAGGGGTATTTGACATCTACATGACTGTGAGCTCTGAAATAGGAACACAGGCTCCCTCCTTTGTGGGTGGACTTGTGTCCTCATACATGGAACATTTCCTTCCTGAAGGCTTGGCAGATCTCCTAATGTGGCTGTGATAATGCTGTGTTTTCACCTTATGTACTGTTAGTCTGCACTCTGTGGATTATTCCTCTTGGCATATAGGAATACTTTATTTTTTAATAGACAAATAATAATTGTATACACTTATGGAGTACATTTATGTGATGTTTTAATCCATGTGTACCTTATAGAAAGATTCAGTCAAGTGGATTAGCATGTCCACCATCTCATCACTTTCTCTCTTTTTTTTTCCCCCCCCTTGGTGAGAACGTTAAAAATCTATCCTTTTAGCAGTTTTGAAATATACCTTATTGTTAACTGTGGTCACTCTGCAGTGCAGTAGATCTTTGAAACTTACTCCTCTAATCTAACTTCCCCACCTCTCCTTCCTCCATTCCCTCCCTTTCTGCTCCCTGTTTCTCTGAGATTGACTTCTTTAAAGTCTATATATAAGTGAGATCACACACAATATTTGTCTTACTGTGTCTGGCTGAGTTCTTAGCATAATGTCCTCCAGATCCATCTGTGTCAATGAAAATGACAGGAATTTCTTGTTTAAGGTTGAATAAGAAAATATTTTATATGTTAATCTAATTTGAGCAACTTTACTAAGCCAATTATTTCTAATGGCCTAGTTGATTGTGTTGTATTTTTGAGGGGATAGAAGTCTGAAAATATTGATAGATTTTTCTTATTTTCAATAGCTTTACTTTTTATTTCCAATTCTTCACTTCTGGCATTGAGTAAAATGTGTAGAACTGTAGTGAGGGCCTTTCTTGTTTTCTTCTTGATTTTAATGAGAATCCTTCTGATGTTTCACCAACCAATTTTGATGTCAGCTGAAGCTTGAGATAGGTGTTCTTGGTCATAATTTTTCTTCTTTGACATATTATTGGTCCAGGACCTAGGATACAAAGTTTAATGACAAAAAAGACCTGGAAGGAAAAAGAGTTTGTTCTTGGGTGAAGGGCAAAGCACAGCTCCTCAGCCTTCACTGACTCTCACTGAGATGGCCAGGAGCTTTCCAGATACCACTGCTTCATCGCTGTTGTCTTTTGTAGGAACATTCTGGACGTGTTTTTCGGCTACAGTTTGATGAGTTTCAAATCATCAGTAGCTCCCACGATGACACTATTTTGATTTGGGATTTCTTAAACGTGCCTCCCAGTGCCCAGAATGAGACCCGTTCTCCCTCCAGAACCTACACATACATCTCCAGATAACAGTCTGCACCTTTACCCATTTCAGGTGAGTCACCCCCCGCCCCCAGCATGCTTCATTTTGCTGATTGGATTTGGTCTTTTGGGGATGTGAACCAAGGTAGCTCTGTATGATGCACCAGCTTTTGCAGAATTCTATTGTAAGTCTAGATCTTACAGGCACATCAAAACAAGGCTTCCTGCATGTGATGAGTTTTCATATTGACAGATGATTGAATGTGGTTCCTGTTTTTTAAAAAATAATTTTTTCTTAATGATTTCCCCAGTTATTTCCATTTGGCACCAGTGAAGTTTCTTTAATTTTATTTTGGGATACAAGAATCTGCTTTTTCTTTCATATCCTTAAGTTCTATTATTTTAAAATAAAACAAAAACAACCACCATCAACAAAATACTCAGGGAGACTCAATTCCAGGTCCTAGGCACTCATGGCCTTCTAGAACAATATGCCCAACTCTCAGGATTCTGCAGGGGCCAATGAGTTCTGTCCACCTTCCACTCTGTAGATTTGGTACATATTTGCACCTGTTCATACTCCTGTATAAAGACTGTGGTTAACGACATTCCTGCTTATTTAAAAGCACTACTTAATTCTTCGTAGCTTTTAATTCCTATGTCTTTTCTTGTGTTCGCTGACTGTTAAAAGTGCAGAGTTTGGTACAGGATGCACCTGGTGCAGCGTGGTAGGCTGTGGCCAGTGGTGAGTGCAGGCGTCCACTCTGGCCTACAGCTTCCTGGCTCTCAGGCAGCACAGGTCAGCTACTCCCTGTCACAGGCTTTCTAGGTGCTGCTGTGGGTCTCTCTGTAGGGCCCCAGCTCGAGGACACCCGCCTGCACCTCCTTCATCCTTAGGCCTTAGGCTTCACCCTGCCCAGATGTATAGCCAGCTCATGCTGTTGGCCTGGTCCTGACCTAGCTTACAAGCTCATTCCAAACCCAGGCTCTCTACCTCTGCTCCTGCCCACAGATGCTGCCCCCCATTCCTGGCAGCCATCTCTGCTTCTAGTCTGGCCTTCCCCTTACCCACTTCAGATCTCTTTTCTCTTCTCTTTAAAGCCCCCTCTGGTCTCCTTACTGCACTTGCCCCTGGCTCCGCTTCCTCCCTCCTGTGCCATCTTCCATCCACCCTTTCTCCATGGACACTCACCGCCCTTCATCCACCTTCGCCACCCATGCCCTTGCCCACCCCCACCGATGGCTCCTGGCCAGAGCCCTTTCAGCACTGCCCCCCACCAAAAGAAAAGTACAAAGAAAATCCATGTGGAGAATTGTGAAATTTGTGGGGGAGAGAAAAGACTGGGAACCTGTGGTATCTGTTCAACAAGTTGCCATCTTTTCAGATCCTCCTCAAGATTCTAGGATCCAATTAATAGATCTCCTCCAGGGAGTCCTCACAGAGGAGCCCAGTGCCAAATTTGACCTACTGCCTTGATTTTTTTTCCTGCCACTGAAGACTAAGAATAGTTTTTACACTTTCAAATGCTTATAAAAAAACTAAAAGAAGAAGAATGATGTGAAAAATTATACGATGTGAAAAATCATGAAATTCAAATTTCATTATTCATAAATTAAGTTTTATTGAAACACGGCCATTCCTATTCCTTTCTATATTGCCTGTGGCTGGTTTCATGCTTCAGTGGCAGAATTGAGTACTTGTGACACAGACCTTATGGCCAGTGGCATCTAAAATATTTGCCATGTGGCCCTTTAAGAAAACTTGCCTTCCTCTGGCCTTACCAGTGCTGTTTGAGGGTGGTAAGCCAAGGGTCTCATTGGGGATGGCGAGGACACCTTTCCTTCATGCCCTATCAGTTTGATTAGTAGGGAGTGGCCAGGAGCTGCTTTTGGAAGGATTCTGGGGCCCCAAATGACTGAGGGTCATGACAGGTTGGTGTCATGACCCTCAGTCATTTGGGGCCCCAGAATCTTCCTCGTGCATGGAGGCAATTGGGAATGACCTGTAAGCCAATGCGCAAACGTTCGCCATTCCTGGCCTCCTGTATGTTGGTACTGTCCCTGTGATAGTGACCTCATCCCTTGCCACTTTCTCTGGCCCATTGCTGCTTTCCCAAGTCTGTTGAAAACACACATTGCAGAGTGGTTGTCCTCATTGAACAGACTCTTCAAGCAGACACAGGGGATTGCAGCAGGGAGCAGGGATAAGGGTCTCTGGAATGATTGCTTCCACCCAGCACCCCCCGCCCCCAAAGAAACCCGAGGAAAACAACAGCAGTAAAGGAGTGGTCCAGATGACCCTGGCAGCCTTCCTGCTCTTCCCCGCCCCCGTCAGCCTGCCCTCCGCCTGCCTCCGGTGAGCTCCTCTGCGCTCCGGCTCTGCTGACTTCCTTGCGCCTTCAGGACCCAGCTTTAATTGCTTAGATGCGCTTAGCGGAGTTGTGACCTCTGGCCACCCGTCACCTTCTTTCCTCCCCGGCAGCCCTCCTCCCTCCCGCCTTTCTCTCCTTACTCCATCCCCAAACCCAGGACTTCAGCCACCTGAATTCTGCTTCATTGCCCTGAACACCCTTTAGCAGTCAGACATGACCACCTCCTCCCCTTGCTCGTGTTATTAGGGAAGGGTAGACTTTCCTGTGGTTAATTTATTATTTGATATTGAAATGGTTTGTGTGCCCATCTTCCTCACAAGATCTGGAGTTCCTTATCACAGAGCTCCAGTACCTAGTTCACTGTTCTTAACTGTCATTGGTGTTTGTTGGACAAGTGGCTTCCAAGGCCAGTATGATATGTGTGCTTTTCCTCCTGGGCCACACAAGAATTTGGCCATAAATTAGTAAATGTATGTGAAACCACAGTGTGYTTGTGCAGTCACCCTCAACAAATATAGATCTTAATTCAGTCAAACATGGAAATTAGTTTCTGAGCTAACACAGACAGACACTAGACAGCTACAGTCCTCGACAGCACCTAGATGTGTTTGTATTCCTTTGCTTTGTCCCCCTTGCCTGTGCTGTGCCTGTGGTTTTAAAATTTTAAACAACAATATTGAGGTGTGATTGTGTAAAATAGATGGTATCCATTTAAAATGTACTGTTTAAGTTTTTACAGAGCATATACCCCAGTATTTGCCTCCATGATCAAGATAAGAGTATTTGTGTCACCCCCAAAGTCAGCCCACCCCCTGCAGTCTGGGCAGACATTGACCTACTGACCTGTTTTCTGTCAGGTTACTCATTTTCCAGAGTTTTCCTGTTGACTGGAGGAGTCATTAGCTCTATGTGACTATTGAGCTCTTGAAATGTGGCCAAAGTAACTTTGGGAACTGATTTTTTTTTTTTTTCTTTTTGCGGGAAGGAAATGGGGGTCTCACTGTTGACTAGGCTGGCCTGGAATTTGTTATCTTCCTACCTCAGTCTCCAAGTAGCTGGGATTACAGGCGTGCATCATCATACCCAATAGGAACTGAATTCTTAATTTGTATTTCATTTTATTTTATGTAAGCTGAAATTTCAATAGCCACACATGGCTAGTGACTGCTGTCTTTGAACTAGTGTAGTTGTAGGAGTTTTATATTTTTAGCTTTTGCATTTAGGTCTTTGATCCATTTAGACTTAATTTTTGTGTGTGGTATAAGAATGCTGTTCTTTTTTATACAGTTAATTTAGTTGTGTCACTATTTAAAAATCTTCTTTTCTGCACTGAATTGCCTTAACACCTTTGTTTAAAAAAAAAATCAACAACTTAAATGTAGGTGTTTTGTCTACATTTGAATTCATGATCCATGTGACTATCCTTTTGCCAATTCTATACTATCTTTGTAATAAATCATCCATCGTTTTTGTGAAAAATGTGTTTTGACTATCCTCGATCCTTTGGGTTTTTTAGTTTGTTTTTTAAGTCATATTCTAAGAAGATGGTTGTTGGGATTATGATTAAGACTCTATTGAAAGAGATCATTTTGGAGAGAATTTCCATTTTAACAAATATTGAGTCTTCAGTGCATTAATGTGGTATTTCAATCCATAAACATGGTTGATCTCTTATTTAGGTATTCACCTCTCAAGCAGCCTTTAATGTTGAAGTGTTCTACATCTTTTGTTAGATTTATTCCACTCTTTTTCTTTTCTAAAAGGAACTCTTAAAACTGTGCATGTCTTGCTGGGTACTGCTCTAGCTGCATGCTGCCACAGCATTCATTTTTCTGCATAAAGTAGGACATAGGGGAACAAGTTGGGGGCAGTGGCRCACACTATAGCTCCAACTATTTGGGAGGCTGAGGAAGAGAATCACAAGTTCAAGGCCAGCCTGGGCAGCTTAGTGAGATTCTGTCTCAAAATAGAAAATGAAAAAGGCTGGGAATGTAGCTCAGTATTAAGGTGCCCCTGGGTTCAATTCCCAAACCAGGGAGCAGAGGGGGAAAAGGAGAATATAAGAACATAGGTTATAAGAGAAACATATAAAATAGAATATGGACAGTCCCAGCTGTAGCCAGGTTTCTGGGAGGAATAGACTCAGGGAGCAGGTGTCTCATGGAACAACATAGGAGTATGTTTCTGTGTCCTTGCCCTCAGTTTATTAAAGAGGCATGTGAGAAAAATCCAAGACTTCCATACCATACCTTTTATTTTTTCCTTTCTGGTGTATGTAATAGAACACAGTAAATTTTCACCAACGACAGCTTTTGCATATGACTGCAAGGGCTCTGGAACAGAGTTCCTCTGGTTGGGAGGTGAGGCAGGGTGGGGGTACTGCTTCTCTTTGGCTGTGGTGGAAAGGAGACTGGTCTTTTTTTCTTCCTGACCGTTTCCCACTTTCTTTTTTGGAACCTAAGAACAATTGCCTTGTTCCAGTACCCAATTGTAAGTTGTGTTTTGAGCCTTTTCAATCTCATCTGCCTTATAGGTAGGTACTACTCCCCACATCCCAGTGAAACCCCAAATGTGTTTGTCTCTTCAAAGGGAATTGCTTTTGACAGCCTTGGCAGTCCTCTTTTCCAAATTCTTTTCTTTTATTGAACATGAAAAATGAAGACCATGTGATTTATGAATAATGAAAAATACTAGCCTAATGATGATTTACCCTTGCAGTAAACTATTCACCCCTAAAATATCAGGTAAGAATATCTCTGTGCTAGGAAATGTAGCAATAGATTTATGTGTCAAATCATTTAAAGACAAATAGTGACTCCTGATAGCTCTATATACAGTAGCACAAGGCTTCTTCTCTGACTCTGTGATTCTTTTATGTGGGAAGCAGGTATTAACAGTTTGTCCCTCTTAGGGCTGTGAGGTCAAGTCCACACGAGACCTGGCCTACAGCTCCCTGCCCAGCCTGCAGCCCTGCGTGTTGCCCATGCGCCTGGGGTGGGCTGGGGCGCGCTGGGGTGCGTCCTTGTCTAACCAGAAGAAACATCCACGCTCCTGTTTTTATTTCCCAGGGTTTCCTAGTCTTGAACTACTGGCTACATGGCTACCAGATGCCTAAGGGAGTTCGTTCACAGTGGCACGAGGCTGGAAGTGGTTCTAGACGCTGGGTAGATGCAAAGCAGCCTCACTCTCCAAGTCCGACATTTCCCACCTCCGGTTCCGGCTCTGCTTTGAGAAGGAGTCCTTCACTTCACCAACTTCCAGTAGAACAGAAGCCCATTCCCTATCCCCATCAGTGAAAAAAACCTACTGCTTCAAATGTAAATTGTTCATATAAGAGGAACATGCAGTCTGTTTTCCAGAAGTAAATCGACCGTCAAGAGAAGACTTGGCTCTAATTTATATGCTTTGCACTTTGGTCTGATATTAAGAAACAACATTCTTCAGTGAAGTTTTGGGTGCCAAACACCTACCCAGAAGGTCCAGGGCTTTCCTTTTCAGAAGTTTGCGTTCTCCTTGTGACTGGCCAAGTCATGAATTCTGACTTGTATTARGGACAATGTTGGACAATGGAAAAATCTCTCTGGATTGTTTTGGTCATATGTTTTGGATTATACTTCCTTTCTGTACCAGTTTCTTTTAATTTAAAGAACTGCTAAGCCAGTTATATTATCTCGCCACAGGTAATATAGCTCTTTTCTTTGATTAACTGTTCTGTCCCCAGCATCTCCTGATATCTGGTAGAGTGACGCCTTCRTCCATGTGCTTGCCTCCTAATTTAAGAYGCCGTATCCGCATGTAGATATGATGTATATAACAATTTCACCTCGAGGTCGCTGGAGCTGGCCCTGCACCRGGACACTAAGCAGGGTGCCCGYTGCATACGGCTGGCTTGGGAGCCCGAGGCCAGGGTTGTGAGGGTGCCTGGACCTTCCTGCAGTATTCATGCGCTGTTCTCATCCGACACTGTCCTGGTGTGTGTGGGGTGTGTGTTTTTAAATGGGAACTTGTTTTAAAATGTAACTTCTAAAGTTGAACACAGATGTTTTATTTGTTGTGCAGTATATGCAATAGAGAGGTACCTTACAACTTGTCGTCATCGTTGTTCTTTTCCTTATGAGTGCTCCTGAGTCCTCGTGGTCACGTCCCATAGTGTTCATTTGGCTTCACTGTCAGCACCGTCCTTCTGTGCGATAGCAACCCTGAGAAAGAAAGAACAAGATGCTCCGTGGACTGGGTCTCCTGGCTCCAGAGTTCACGCCACCTGGCCCCGCCAGGGCGTCGAGGGCCTGTGGCACGCTGCAGCCTGCAGAGCAGGCAGGCTGGTCCAGAGGCCCCCCCTTGAGGGCAGGGCACCCCAGAGCGACABGCAGCCTGAGGYCTGTGAGGGCCCTGAGCCCACTGAGAGAACGGCACTGTCACTCTGAGCACAGGGAGTGGACATTGGCATCCCGGTACCCTCTTCCCTCCTCGATAGTAGGTCTTGATTTGCCCCTTGCCATTTATTTCCAAAGATCAAGGAATGTCCATACCACTTGAAAGGACCAATAAGCCACTTCTGTGAGTGCAGCCTCTTCCCGGGAAGCACACCCTCCTCCCGAGAGAGGGCCCTGGGCTCTGGCCTTGCGTGGAGAACGGTGTGGGATCAATGTGTCTGTGATTCGCTTATCGGGTTGGATTTGCTTTTTAGTTTCGCTTTTTCCTTTTTTATATTTTTAATATATCCTTCCCACATTTTACTAAATTAATTTGTTTTTGAGAAGTTGAGTCTTAAAGTGTGAAAAAGAACCCTCCCTTCATGAGGTGGGTGCCGTGAGCTTGGCAGTGAGGGCAGGTTCACCCTGGGCCCCTCTCGCCTCCCAGCCGTGKGGTCTGACTGGCTGGGGAAGCCCGGGAGGGGGAGGCACATTTTCTGAATGAATGGATWTTTTTTTGTTTTTGTTTTTGCATGTTTAATATAGAAGTTCCTCTCATTCCTTGGGAAATCATGGCCTTTGAATATGCACACAACCTTTGAACTGTGCCTACTAAATTATAGCAGGGGACTTTGGCACCCAAGGAGTCCTGGCTCTGGGGTTACTGCAGTAACCCCAGCTGTACTCTGGACTTTATTTTGCTAACATAATTGAGCAACTGTAAATTACTGCTATATTAATGTTTTAAARCACTGGGATAGTCTAATTCTAACTTGTAATTAATTATGTTTGCCAATTATCTGTTGGAAATAAATTTGTGTCTGAACAGCTATTGAAACAAATTGTACAGATATTATTCATGACAGCTTTGTACTGTGGAATGTGCTTAATAAAAAACAAAGAGTTTGACCTCTGTCCAATAAATTGCTAAGTAATGTCAATAAATCGAGTATGAGTATTCTGCAGTCCACCTAATCTGGCTTCATGCGATTGTTACTTCAGCTACTAATTGAAAGCCAATACAATAATAAAGTGTTGCAATACTCTGATGTTCTGTTAAGAAATTTTTCAGAAAACCTGTTACATGCTATCAGGATTCAGTGACATGTCATTAAAGTTTATAGACTTTAAAAATTATCAACTGTGTAAAGTGAAGTTGAAGGCTCAGAGCTTCTGACCTGTGAGAACTTGGCAAAAGACGTGTAATTCCGTGACTTGAAGCTCTTCCGAGAGCGCCCACTTGACCCCCAAGGTTGGCGGCTGCCTGGGAGAGGTCTTGCCCAGCGGCCCTGCTTCCCTTCACACGTTCCAGATTAAATGACCAGCACAGAGTGACCAGCACCAGTTCCTGGGAAAATAGGAGAGTGGCCTCTGGTGAGTTCCAGGTGGCTCCTGGGTGAGTGGCCCGCCCGGGCTGAAGCAAGGGGCGGAGGAGGCGCAACAGGCGGAGCTGCAGGCAGGAGAAACACAGTGGCCCTGCATGGCCCTGGCTGGGTGAGAGCCAGGAGGACAGTGAGTCTCCAGGTTCTGTGCCCAAGTCCCTCGGAGCAGCTGTGTTCACTGGGTGGCTGGGTTTTCCCCAGCCACCAAATGGGTGATGTAGACTTTTTGGATGAAATTAGAGTATTTTGAGGCCATTGTCCTCACCCATTTTTCTTGTTAAAAAAAATGTTTTAAAAATATGTAATATTGCCTGTGCTGAAGAAAGCCATTTTGCAAAGCATAAAAGAGTGGAGTCCCTTGTCCCTCTCCCGGCCTCCAGTTTCCCAGCCAGCTTCCTGCATGTTCCTCGGCACCCTGTCTGCACTAGGTTGTCCCCGCACACACCCTTTTGTTTTGTGTTTTCCTCCTGGGGCTAAGGCTCCAGCCCTGGGCCTGGCACTTGATAAGCTACCCCAGAGCTCCGCCCCGGCCCTGGCCTGCTCTTTCTGTGGTGGCATGCCTGCAGGAGGGTGCTGCATCCCTCATCTGCTGTCCTGAGGGCTACTCCGTGTCAGTCCGGGTGACTCCACCTCACTCCTGTCAGTGGCCGCACAGTGTTGGGTTGTAAGGACAAACCGTAGTTCAGCTGGCTGCAGGTGAAGGTGGGATTCTGTTCTTACCATTTCCAGGTGGTGATTGTCCTTTTTCACAGGGCTGTCCCTCATACCTGGCCGCATTAAAGAGACTGTTATTGGTGATTCAGGATGACAGCAGAGTTGGTCCTAGACATGGCCACAGAGCGGGGAGACCAGGAGCTGGGTGCTGGGCCACAGCCCTCCCGGGTGCTTCCCTCCCTTCCTCCCACAGCTGCTGCTCAGTAAACACAGTGTCTTCCTCCTTAAAAGGTGAAGTGTTAGCAAGAAATCCGCAGCTCCTGCTCCCATCCCTGAGGAGCGTCTGAGAGGTCTCGTCCACCCTCGCCCGGCCTCTCACCAGAGCTGTGGCGGCCCCAGCTGTTTGTTTTCTCTGTTGAACAGGGAGAGTGGAGGCTGCGCCATCTGGCTGCCAGTCCCTTCCTGATTAGCAGCCTGGCAGTGCCCGCTTTGGACCTTTGCTTCTCTATGGACTAGCCCAAGTCCTGGAGGGATATGCCTCGGCTCCGGGAATCTAGATTCTGTCACACCCAACCGGTCACAGTTGGCAAAATCTTAAAAAAGTCTCCCTGGTACCTGTTCACCATCGCTGAGCTGGTGTGACTTGAAGCATTTTTATTAATAAAACTAGTCACTGAGTGAGGCGTTGTGTCCCAAGTTCAAAGGACTGAGGGTGTCCCAGAGGAAAGGGCAGATTAAATGACCAGTAAGGACTGACCAGCACACWGGTGTCACCCGGTACGCGTGTGTGTGAAGAGGCAGGAAGAAGGGGAGAGAGCTGGCAGCCGTTGCCCTCCCTCCCGCGCTCAGCRGCAGGCGGACTTGCTTTCCCGCTAAGCAAGGCAGGGGGAGGCTGGAATCTGCAGCTTCTGGCGGACCAGGAGCTTGTCTGAAGGCCTCTGGACCCTTGCTGGTCATGGCCTGAGCTTGGCCACTGCCCATAGGCACTCGGATGTGGAGTGGCTGGGAATGTGGCCATGGAAAGGTGCTTCTCTGCCCTGGGTGGCAGGCCCCTGAGACTGAGTTCAGTGCTTTAGGAATGTGTCTGTTGGGTATGGCCCTGCGAGAGGACAGTCGGGCACATCATAAGTTGTCTCGTGAGGGCCTGGCAGCCTGGAGAGTAGAAAACCCTCCAAGAGGATCCGCATTCGCCCATTGCTTCCACCTTTGTGGCCACCTCTTGCCCTGGAGTTGTTTGGTTTCATTGCTCAGAGTATGTTACAGTGGGGCTGGGCCTGGCTGGGCTGGGCGACCCAGTAGTCACAAGGCCCACGGCTGAGTGGGGACAGGCCAGAGCGACAGCTTGAGTTGGTTGTGCTGAGGTCTCGGTGAGTTCAGCCTGGGCGCCATCCTCCCTTCACCTCCATCTTCAGGCCCCAGACGCTTCTGCTCTTGACCCTTGTACTGCCCAGTCCCCGACAGCTGCGAGGGCTCCGAGGACTTGGATGGAGACACTTTGCAAGGACTGTTTGTGGATCAGCTGGCAGACAGGGAGGAGCGTGCTCACCGAGGCCCGGGCTCCTCAGCTGACTGGCAGCAGGCCCCGTGGGCACAGGAGTTCAGTACTTGGACTAGAAGGTAGAGATGGTATTTTAAGGTGCTTCGTAAAGATTAAATGATATAACCTGGAACTGACCTCACCTCAAGGTAGTGTAGGGACGGGCTGGCATGGTGCCCGCCGGCTCTACTGGGGCCATCTACACAGGACTGATGCTCAGGAGGTGGGGCGTGGTGGAGTTCGAGGTGGTGTGGCGTAGGGTGGCATCATCTGCTCAGGAAGCCTAAGGCCATGGGAAGGCGCCCTCTGCCCCCAGCGAGGATCGAGTTTGTTTGAGGGGAGGTGGGTGGACCTGGTGCACAGGAGAGTGTGCACACGCGGGAGTTCTCTGGTTAGTTTTGTTAGGGACGACAGCCCTCAAAGGCGGCCCACCTGTCATCTCCCCAGGGTGTCTCTGGGAAGAAGAGGCCACCTGAGCAGGCTCCTCTCCGAATCACAGGGCCTCCAGTGGACAGAGTGGAGGTGGAGGCCCAGGGCATGTGCAGGCGGAGGGAGTGGCAGTGACCAGGGAAGACAGTGTTTACTACCAATCAGTGACAGCAAGAGCCAGGCCACCCGGGAGTGCCAGGCCTGCTGGGGGCCTTTCTGCATCTCCAAGCCCCCGCAACCTACCCGCAGTGTTGTTGGGCTTAATGGAGGAAGACCCTGAGGCCCAGGCCTGTCTGGTTTCGGTGACCACAGCTGGCCTCCCTGCAGGCCACCCTGCTGTCTCCCTGGGCTCTGTGATGCCAACAGAGTCCCCCAAGGAGCCAGACTGGGCTGTGCTGTCTCCTGCCCTGGTGTGCCCCTGCCCTCTGCTCTTGGATCATCGCTGTTTGGCAAGCCTTCACAGCACCCATGTCGTGGTGGAGTGCGAGGAACTGGACAGATGGGGCCAGGCGTGGCCACCAGAGGGGGGCTGTGGGCGAGAGGCCAGCAAGGAGAAGTCAGGCCTGGAAGAGGCAGAACACAGAGCAAGGGAGGGAGGCTAGTGTGGAGGGTGCGGAAGAGAGGAGTGCTGACAGGTGGCGCATATTTAGTGTGCATCTCTTCTGTGCCACTAGAGGGGGTTGTAGGGAAACTCCCTGCCCTCGGGGAGCTTCCCTCCAGTGTAAGCTCAGCAGGGGTTGCATCCGCAGGGGCCCAACACAGGAATGAGCAGGTTGAGTTCAGATGGAGAGAGGAGCTGTGGAGACTTGACCTTGGGCAGTGGTTGGAGCCAAGACCCCCATGGTAACAGGAGCCAGCCACAGAGTGAGGCAGGACAAGATGTCCAGGTAAGGGGACAGAGGTGCAAAGGCCCTGAGGTGGGAAGCCCTGAGTGGGCAGCTGGCTCGTAGGCTCCGTCTCCCAGATATGAGAAGGAGGGGGTCGATCTGAAGGGTGGACTGCTGCTACATTTGGATTTGGACCATGAAGGTGCCCCAGAGAGGCACAGACTCGGATTACTAGAAAGGGGCAGGCGGTGGCCTCCAAAAGCAGAGTCCTGAGGAACACCCACTTGAGCACACAGGGCCCTGGGGACACGCTGTGACAAAGCCAGGGGAGGAGCAACTGGGAAGGCAGGGCACGTAGCCCTTGGACCCTCCCAGAACCTGAAAAACCCTCTTGCAAACCCTAGTCCCCAAGCCCGGGGCCTCCTGGGGACCAGGCATGGTCCCGGCTCAGCAGGGCACCTGACCGCGCGCCACGCCCAGCCCAGCACCGGTTCCCCAGTGGCCAGGGCGCTGGCGGCAAGGGCAGCCRGCGCCCGGAGCTGGGAACCTTCCCCGCTGCCCATCTGCGCAAACAGCCGGCCAGTCTGCGCCTCAGGAATGAGGAGATAAAAGGACCATCGGGACTTTTCCACCGAAGCCGAAAGCACTTTACAGACGGCTGCGAGCTCCGTTTCAGGAAATGTCATCATGTCTCCCGGGAGGGGCGGCGGGCGGGGCGACTGGCCGCAAACTGCGTCCTCGCGGGGAGCGCGCGGCTGGTCAGCCCCGGGTCAGGGCGCGGGGCTCCCAGTGCCCCTCGCGAACACCTCACTTCTTAATAGTTTTTCCTTTAAAAACAGCCCAGCCTTCTTTGGCAGATGGTGACATTCCATTAGCATATGGAATATTTTTCAAAACACATCCGGGAGCGCCTCTCCTCCGGAGGCAGCTGGGCACCGAAGACCGGCGTTGGAGAGGGGGCCGGGAGCAGCCTGCCGAGCAGAAGGCGCCCACAGCCCGGCCGGCCGCGGGGTGTCCCGGGTTGGCACCCTGGCCCAGAGGAGCCCCCTCACCAAGCCACCCTGAGGACCAGGGAGCTAGAGAGGGATCGGACTGCAAGGCGACAGCAGGACTGGGCCCTGACCAGTAGTCACCTGGGTAGCCTTCTGTGGATGCAGCCTCAGGGAAATGAGGGCGCCTTCTTCATTGAGCACCTACTATGTGCCAGATGCT